TTGTTCCCAGCTAAACCGCAGACCAATCACAAATGACATCAGCAGAGCGCATCTGAGCGTGCAGCCAGCACAACGCACATCGAGGCCCTCGATGCCCCTGAAAATGATCAGCAAGCCGAATTGGGTAGCAGCTCACAAGAGTGCAATTGCTACATCACTCCGGCAGCCTTATACTATCTCCACCTTGTGAAGGTCGTGCTGCCACTTTCTCCAGCAGTCAACCGCAGAAGAGTGGAATGACCACACATCCGTGTCCTTATACATCTGACGAATACAAGATGGCACAATCGCCATGTAACGCCGGCCAATGTACATCCTCCAATTAGCTGTGTTCTGCCAAGTGGCGATGCCACAATTGCAGGGTGCTGTGGTGTTTGATTGTTCGTAAATAAGCCACAGACCAATCACAGTTGACATCAGCCGAGCGCATCTGAACATGCAGTCAGCACAACGCACATGAAGGCCCTCGATGCCCCTGAAAATGATCAGCAAGCCGAATTGGGTAGCAGCTCACAAGAGTGCAATTGCTACATCACTCCGGCAGCCTTATACTATCTCCACCTTGTGAAGGTCGTGCTTGCCACTTTCTCCAGCAGTCAACCGCAGAAGAGTGGATTAATCGGATGTGTCCTTACAGCTCAAGATTACAAGACGGGACAACGTGTATCCAAGTCTTCCCCACACATCGGAATGAAACGCAACGGCATACTCAATTAGCTGTGTTCTGCCAAGTGGCGATGTCACACTTGCAGGGTGCTGCGGTGATTGATTGTTCGCAGGTAAACCACAAACCAATCACACTTGACATGAGCCGAGCGCATCCGAACATGCGGTCAGCACAGCGCACATCGAGGCCCTCAATGCCCCTGAAAATGATCAGCAAGCCAAATTGGGTAGCAGCTCACAAGAGTGCAATTGCTACATCACTCCGGCAGCCTTATACTATCTCCACCTTGTGAAGGTCGTGCTGCCACTTTCTCCAGCAGTCAACCGCAGAAGAGTGGAATGACCACACATCCGTGTCCTTATACATCTGACGATTACAAGATGGCACAATCGCCATGTAACGCCGGCCAATGTACATCCTCCAATTAGCTGTGTTCTGCCAAGTGGCGATGCCACAATTGCAGGGTGCTGTGGTGTTTGATTGTTCGTAAATAAGCCACAGACCAATCACAGTTGACATCAGCCGAGCGCATCTGAACATGCAGTCAGCACAACGCACATGAAGGCCCTCGATGCCCCTGAAAATGATCAGCAAGCCGAATTGGGTAGCAGCTCACAAGAGTGCAATTGCTACATCACTCCGGCAGCCTTATACTATCTCCACCTTGTGAAGGTCGTGCTTGCCACTTTCTCCAGCAGTCAACCGCAGAAGAGTGGATTAATCGGATGTGTCCTTACAGCTCAAGATTACAAGACGGGACAATTGCCATGCAATGGCATCTAACGTATATCCAAGTCTTCCCCACACATCGGAATGAAACGCAAGGGCATACTCAACTAGCTGTGTTCTGCCAAGTGGCGATGTCACACTTGCAGGGTGCTGCGGTGATTGATTGTTCGCAGGTAAACCACAAACCAATCACACTTGACATGAGCCGAGCGCATCCGAACATGCGGTAAGCACAGCGCACATCGAGGCCCTCAATGCCCCTGAAAATGATCAGCAAGCCGAATTGGGTAGCAGCTCACAAGAGTGCAATTGCTACATCACTCCGGCAGCCTTATACTATCTCCACCTTGTGAAGGTCGTGCTGCCACTTTCTCCAGCAGTCAACCGCAGAAGAGTGGAATGACCACACATCCGCATTCTTACGCCCCACGATTGTAAAACGGGAAGCGCAATCGCCATGCAACATCGGCCAATGCACTTGCAGGGTGAAGTGGTGTCTAATTGTAAACCGCTGACCAATCACACTTGATATCAGCAGAGCGCATCTGAACATGCGGCCAGCACAACGCACATCGAGGCCCTCAATGCCCCTGAAAATCATCAGCAAGCCGAATTGGGTAGCAGCTCACAAGAGTGAAATTGCTACATGACTCCATCAGCCTTATGCTATCTCCACCTTGTGAAGGTCGTGCTGCCACTTTCCCCGGCAGCCAACCGCAGAAGACTGGATTCACCACACATCCGTGTCCTTATACATCTGACGATTACAAGATGGCACAATTGCCATGCAACGCCGGCCAATGTCAATCCTCCAATTAGCTGTGTTCTGTCAAGTGGCGATGCCACAATTGCAGGGTGCTGTGGTGTTTGATTGTTCGTAAATAAGCCACAGACCAATCACAGTTGACATCAGCCGAGCGCATTTGAACATGCAGTCAACGCACATCGAGGCCCACGATGCCCCTGAAAATGATCAGCAAGCCGAATTGGGTAGCTGCTCACAAGAGTGCAATTGCTACGTGACTCCGGCAGCCTTCTACTATCTCCACCTTGTGAAGGTCGTGCTTGCCACTTTCTCCGGCAGCCAACCGCAGAAGAGTGGATTCACCAAACACCCGTGTCCTTATACATCTGACGATTACAAGATGGCACAATCGCCCTGCAACACCGGCCAATGTACATCCTTCAATTCTCTGTGTTCTGCCAAGTGCGATGCCACAATTCCAGGGTGCTGTGGTGATTGATTGTTCGCAGGTAAACCGCAGACCAATCACAGTTGACATGAGCCGAGCGCATCCGAACATGCAGTCAGCACAACGCACATGAAGGCCCTCGATGCCCCTGAAAATGATCAGCAAGCCGAATTGGGTAGCTGCTCACAAGAGTGCAATTGCTACATCACTCCGGCAGCCTTATACTATCTCCACCTTGTGAAGGTCGTGCTTGCCACTTTCTCCAGCAGTCAACCGCAGAAGAGTGGATTAATCGGATGTGTCCTTACAGCTCAAGATTACAAGACGGGACAATTGCCATGCAATGGCATCTAACGTATATCCAAGTCTTCCCCACACATCGGAATGAAACGCAACGGCATACTCAATTAGCTGTGTTCTGCCAAGTGGCGATGCCACACTTGCAGGGTGCTGCGGTGATTGATTGTTCGCAGGTAAACCACAGACCAATCACAGTTGACATCAGCCGAGCGCATCTGAACATGCAGTCAGCACAACGCACATGAAGGCCCTCGATGCCCCTGAAAATGATCAGCAAGCCGAATTGGGTAGCAGCTCACAAGAGTGCAATTGCTACATCACTCCGGCAGCCTTATACTATCTCCACCTTGTGAAGGTCGTGCTGCCACTTTCTCCAGCAGTCAACCGCAGAAGATTGGAGGGGACACGCATCAATATCATGTTGCACATGTTTGCTTCCACACAATTTGGCTAGTCTATGCCGACAATATTTCATCTGTGAGCTATTCCAGTTCGGTGTTGCTCCCTCCAGCTTGCTTAGCCTTGCATCCGGGACAAGGCATGAAATTGCAGTGGATGGAAGGATACTCGCAAAACCTGAGCCCCAAAGCTGCGCTCCCAGCTCTGACTCGGCCAGGTTTGCAGTTCCCCGGACCACCTTCTGTTCGGTGGGAACTCGGGCGACTATGTCTTGTACCAAAATCTAAGGGGGCAGAAACGAAGCCCCAACCGCAGCTAGGCAGGAGACCCTCCCTGCACTTGACAAAGCTCAGAGGTACTGGGCCTGCATTTGAGCCCCTACAAAGTCATATTAAACTGAAACTTTTCAAGGTACGGTACCGCGGCCGAAGTTGAACACTCAGGTCTTGAGACCGCATCGCTCATACTCAAACCTGGCATGAAAGCCGTCAAGCCAAAACTATCTCAAGACAAGTTAAACGGAGACCGGCCATGTTGGGCATGCCCCTCACTGACCCAACCCTCATCTACCCTTCCGATTGTGGCTCACTTAGCTGGGTCCGCAGACGATCCTGCCATTGCCTCGCCAGCGCCTGCCCCTCTGCCGTCTCCTGACGACTACATTGGTAGCACTTTCAACTCGCCCCGTTGGTGTTTGGACCTTTGCAACCGGATCAACTGGACCTGGATCAATATACAATCCGCATAGCTTCCAACTGGACTTGTGTATGGGAACCCTCAAAATAGTGGTTTTCCGTTTTTGGTTTCCCTTCAACACCAGCAAGGGGTACCCTCAAAAACGACACCCCCGAGTAGCTCTGCCAACTCGAGGGGGCCCAGCTTCCATCGGCCCAGCGGGCGCGCCTCGATGCCGAACTGCAGCTCCCCGAGCCGCCGCTCCGTGACGGCCTGGAGAAACGTGGAAAAGCGGCGTGGGGAGCACGGCGCAAGTTGCCCATGTTGCAAGAATCCTTCGGGGCGAACTGCTCCAATTTTGCCAGTTTGGTGAGCCTCCTCCAACGAACTTAACCTCCCAACGTGGAAGTTCCAAATTTCGCCTTGATTGACATGGCCCGTCAGTTGTTCCGCGTCAGTGGCAGGGAGGGTTTGTGTTGAAGGAAAAGACGTCAGCCCCTCTGTGTTGTTCGCTTCAAATGGGCGTTGCCGCGTTGCCACGGGAAGGACTCCTGTGGGGCGGCTTTCAAGGGACACCGGTTATTTAGAAGAAGTCCTCTCACTTCCTTCTGATCATCTTGAGCGAAACCCATGCGAAACAAAAATAAGGGGAGGTGATTTGCTTGCGGGGGTCGCGATGTTCCTTCTGAGCAGCTTCAGCCAGCATGGACGCTTGTTGTTGAGGCCCAGAACACTCGTCCCTCTGAGCAAGCGTCCTGCTTTTCTTTGCACATTTCTTTGCAGCTGCTCGGCTCAGAAAGTGGGAAAATGGCTGTTTGAACAATCGCCGGCATGATCAAAAGCTGCCTAAAATGCCATAGCTCCTTTGCCCAACATGTTGGAATACCTCCAAAACCAACAAAAGGCCGCTGGCTTGGCCCCCACAGCCTCAACCATCACCCGCCTCTGCAGGGTCTGCCAAATCCCCCGCCCAGCTCGGTAGCAGCTTCTTCACCTGAGACATCGGGGATATCAACCGCAGCTCACTTGGGATGTCCTCAGCCCCCGGCGGAGACTTTGTAGGTCTGCACCTCCGCTTGCAGCATATCTATCTTCTCCTGCCGAGCCGAAAAAGCGGAAACTGTCCTGAAGGGCTTCCGGAGTCACGTTCCCGGAGTTGCGCTCTCAAACTGCGCATGGCGGTTTCTCGCAACTTGTCACAGCATGACACAGCCGTTCATGCCGCCGGAACCTTCTACACATGGCTACTGGGGAAAGACCAGATTTCGCCTTGGGTAAGCAACGAGATCTACGGCTCTCTATACAAATATGTTGGTTTGGTGGGGTGTCTGAGAACATCCCACTCAGGAGAATCAGGAACAAATGTTAGCATTTCTTTGGCGTCTCAGAGTCTCACAGAACCCTTTGGCCCCTCAATCAGCGTCCAACTTAGGAATCAAACTCTTGTCCTCACAGGGAAAAAACTGTTTCAGAGAGTTGCCGACGTCCCCCTCCTGGATCCTTAGAGGCCCTCCACGCTGCGTCATCTTCTTCACCAGCTTCCTGGCTCGAGAGGCGGCCCAAAACCCGCCCAACTCCGCGGAAGGGAGCTTTTCTGGTTTTCTCTCTTGGGAGTCACCAGAGGCGGTCTCTCTGTCTCTCCATCTGCCATGAATCAGAAAATGGCCCATTCCCACACACCGCGAATGCGCATGGATCGCCTTCCGAATTTCGGTCCACCTTCGGCTGGGAGATGTGAAAAGCGAATGGCACCCCTCCCGTCCGTCCGCCTGCTGAGGCTGCTGAGTGCCTGTCGCTCCGCAATGACGCGCTGCTCTTGAAAGATCCTCAGCACCTTGGCGTAAAAGGAAAAAGCCCCCCGGGCCTAGAACAAACATGGGGACGCAAGGCTGTAACACATCCTCTGTTCGCTGGTGACTGCCACTTGCTTTCTGGTGTGCAGCATACTTAGTTTGCCCAGGGCATGGCTGGTTCGCGACAAACAGCATGCGGGTTGGCCATGGTGTTGATCTGGGGTGCTCAAAAAGATGTCCGAAAAGAGCCAATACGGCAAAACCTCCGGGGAAAACAGGATCTTAGCCGGAGTCTCACGCCCGCCACAAGCCCGTCTAGGATCTAATTCGCCAGCGCACTCATACCCTCTGGCCCCATGCTTAACATGGGCAAGGATGATGGCACAGAGAGGCAACAAGAAAACCCACTGAAGCCCGAGGCCGTATTTGCACAGTTTGTATGTTGACAAAAGCCTTGCTTGCTGACTTTACTAGTTCGACCCCTGTCACGCTGGTTTCTTTCATGCAACTCCTCTAGCGTTTCATGAACAATTCTTACCCAGTGCCACGGGAGTCTCAAGGCTCCTAAAAATGGTCCAAGACCAGGTCGTGCCATGTGGACGTCGTTGTGGAGTTGTCTCAAACTAGGGTATCCACTAAAATGACAAGTTTTTCCTCTTCTCTGGTCCCTTTGAAAACAACCTGAAAATGCTTCATTTTTTAATAGTGCACGCCCATGTCTCTCTCACCCCGCTGTCGACCCCCACGTCTTTGCGGATGGCATCCTGGAGAGCCTTCCGCTGCGCCTCACACGACCTCAGACCAAGGGGCCGGGATCTTGAGCCGGCAAGGGGTGTCAAAGAAAACCCTGAAAAGTTGTGGTTCTCCTCTTTTGCCTTTACACAAGCCTGATAAGTGTGTATGTGTGTGTGGCAACGCCTCCAAGGAATGACAGAATCCCGGATAAAAGAAGCTGTGAGCACTGGACACGCCCCCCAACTGGCGCAGGATTGGACAGATACACTCTGCTATCCAAAAACAAACTCTTGAGGCACCACTATCCGATACTCGTCCACCTGCAAAGCGATCATGCGAGAGGGACCACCAAAAAAGGGGCGCCCGGCAATATTGCCTGTTGTTCAGCTGACGGATTGCATGGCTAGCAACTTAATACACCTGCTTTTTGTGTAAAAAAGCATTCCAACCTGCAGGACAATGGGCAAAGTATCCACCAATCTTACCCAAGAAATCAAAATAGCCTTGATTCGTGATAGAATGTTTGCGCGATGCATTTGGCCGTGACCACAAAGCCTTGCGCAAGTCATTGACAACCGCTGCCGGGCACAGATCAAAAGCGTCGCCTCTTGAACACAGGAGGACAGCCCCAGCGATCACCAAGCACACACAAGCCACTGACTTAAGCAAGACCCCAGTGTGAAAGTAAACAAAGCTCTCCACAACGTTGCCGGCGTCGAGGGAGGGAAAAAAGGTGGAATTACAACGTGTCATATCTTTGCAGACACCGTATCTTGACAAATCATCCAACGTGTCTAGCCGATGCTTGGCGATCAGAGCAAGAATCTTCCATCAAGGTAGGGGGGGGCAACGTCCCCAGCACAATCTGGACCTAGATTCTCTGTGCTGACCAACCCACCGACCGACTGACCAACCGACCTCCGCCAATAGGAAACGCCAAACAAATATGGAAAAAAACTCCGATTCCGCAACGCATCCAAAGCAAAATTTCACAAAGCCCTGAGGCCTTTGCTGGCCCGCCACAGCATCAAAGGCGCCCAAGGCCGCCTTAACAGCGAAGCGCGGCCGAACCAAGCCCTGCCCACAGGTTCCAGCTAGCGAAAGCCTATGGCCGATCCAAGCGCACCAAGTGGCGCTTATCAAAGAATCCAGACATAGAGTTTGTTTTGGGTGGGGAGGCTGGGAAAAGGGAAAACAAAAGGCCCAAACCCCTGTGTTGCAATTTGGTAGCCGCTGCCCAGAGCCACTCACCGAAAACACGCGAAATCGCATGGACAGTCAGTCAAGCTCCATGGCGAAAGGGAGAGTTCTCTCACAAAGATGTGCCATCGAAACGTATTTTCAACACCTCAACCCCCATCCTAAACCCATCCTAAACCCACCCCCATCCTAACCATCCTAACCATCCTACAACCCCGACCCCAACCTCCACCCCTCCACCCCCCCATCCCCCCCTTCTCGCCCCCCATCCCCAGAGCTCCCCCCCTTCTCGCCTTCTCCGCCTGCTCCGCGGCGCTGCCCAGCGCCACCGGGCGCCCCGCCTGGCTCTCCGCCGCCCAGCTCTTCCGCGGCTCCTCGAAGCGCTGCTGCCTCGGGGCTCGGGGCGGGCCGGGGGCGTCGGGTGGGCTGGGCTGGGCTGGGGTTTGGCCAGAACCTCGGGGTTGCGCCCTTAGGGTTGGCTCAAGGCTGGGTTTGGGGTGCAGCACATTTGAGACTACTTCCGCGATGGAAGTCACGAAGTGCCACCAGGACGTCCAAATGGCCGTTGTAGGGCTGGCTCAGGGTTGGTTCTTGTGGGTTTTAGGGTTCAGGGAGGTAGATGAAGAAATGAAAGGCATCCTGTGTATGGGTTGTAAGTTTCAGGCATCAACAAGCAAAGAACTCGACAACTGTCTACTTTGCTTGCTTAGTCTTGGACAGCAGGATAACTTGCCAGTCCTTCTGGAAGGGCGAACCATGCTTTGCATGTTATTGGCAGAACTTCTGTAAGAATATCACTGTTTGTGGGGGTCCACCCATGGAGCGCACCACATGTCCCGCCTGTTGCTTTGAAAATGGTTGCCAGTTTATTGTCAGAGGTGCTTCCCAGCAAAAAGGCTCCGACAACATGAAATGCAACCTTTTTTTCGCGGTCTGGTTGAGTGAGATCTTCTGAATTGGGCAGCTGCTCAACCCTAACTCTTGAGAGCACTGCACCAAACGGCTTCGAAAATATGACATTGGCCAAAGCAAAGATGCGCCCGTGTACATTGCTGTCCGCTTCCCACCGCCTGAACTGCTGGAGCGACTTTGACTTTTCTGGAGTAGTTCAGCACAGTGTGTGGACCAACTAAAGTAGGTTGGGCACGTTTTTCGACATGTTTCATGGATGTTGGATACTGGTTGAAGCCTGTTTGAAGATACGGTTAAAAGAACTCAATTGCAGGATATCCATCTTCAGGGAGCACAAGGAAAGCATGCTGTCAAATGTGGTTGGAAGCCACCAGGCGATGTGTAAACTTTAAATCTTAGGGGGGTCTCAGCAAACTCAGATGGCAAGAGTTCAGAGAAGCCCTAGCGTAGAAGCACTGAAGCCATCAACTGAATGCACAGACTACAGGAGGGTATGTCAACACCAAAGTCACGTGTTCGAACTAGAACGCCAGGAAGTTCTATCTGTCAAAACAAGGGGAGCAACCAAATTGTGATTCTTAGTGGATTCCCTTTGTATAAACCAATGGTGACGTTTCCTTATATAAATCAATGTGAAAAGGACATCCTCCCCAAAACTGCACAACCCAACTGCGAATTTTGCTGTCGAGCTGCCCAGCAGAGAGCGCTTCACCGCAGGTGCCGGTGACCCCTGAAAAGAAGCGGTCTGATTTGATCTGCGACCTCTCCCCAAAGGTGTGCAACAAATAAGTGTGGCCTTAGGCCTTCATTGGAGGCAATGGTCATAATAATCAGCTTGCGTTCAATGTCCATTCCGAGTGATGAATGACAACTACCATCATCACTTTGTCCACGGCCTTTGTAGAATCCTTGATGCACCTAGAGTACGTGGTGCTCCAAACTAGGGGGAACAGGTGACAGGATGAGAAGGGCACATGTACTCATGCTGTTGTTGGGACAAAACCATCCCAGAAAAGCGATGTTGTCCTTGAAGATTCCCATACGCGTCGATGTCCACTGCAGCACGCAATCAGAATCAGGGGCGGCCAAGGCCATCGTACTTATCTTGTGAGGCTAGGTGAGGCTCGGTTAGGTGGTTAGCTCGCTTTCTGGCCCTTGTGTTGCATTAAGTTGCTCAGCTCTGTTTTGCTTTGCTTTCTTGCTGCCTTACTAGCCACTTAGCTCACTCCAAGCCTCTTGCAAAAGGTTTTATGTGTTGCGCTTGGGCCAATTGCATTGTGAAAGGCAACTCCAAGCCCCGGGGCCTTGCGCCACCGCCTTGCTTGCAGACTCCTCTGTGCGCGGGGGCGCCTGTGCCGGCGCCAGCCTTAGGCCATCGGGGGCAGGCATTCGTCCAGGGATCCGTCTCGGAAAACGGCCCAAGGCCAAAAATGGGCGGCTTTAGGCAAAAACGGGTGAATTGAACGGGGAATCCACCCATGTACACATCCGAACCGATGCATGGAAGGTGTGCAGGGTGCATTGTGTTGACTTTTTAACTACATTTATTCTGTAGATTTATTTGCGCTGAAGAAAGCCAAAAATCAGGAAGCCAGCCAGGAAAGAAAGGAAATCAGTCTCTAAAGTCCATTTTCCAACAAACTGCTGGAGAAAAACACGCGAAACTGGGCATGACTTCTTTTTGCGAGGGGGCTTTCTGGAGCGTGGCCACTTGCCTCGCGGCAAATGAAAAGATCCTGGGGCACCCGGCCGCAGGCCAAAGGTCACGGCTGCCAGCCCTGAGCGGAAACCGATGGAGGACCAAAAACCGGCAGGGGCCGCAAATCGAAAAATGTGCGGGTCAACCAAAAGAAACGGGATCAAACAGAAAATGGGAAGAGCAGATCAACCAAAATGTGCACGTCAAACAAATCAAAATGTGCGGGTCAACCAAAAGTCCGGATCACACAAAGAATGGGACGAAGCCGGGATCCCCACCCTTGCGCACAAGAGAGGCACTCCCTTCAAAGTTGGATACAGATTTGTGAGAAAAAATAGAAGAAAAAAGAAGAAGAAAACACATGGGATCCGCTCAAGGGGTCACCTGACATCTTGAACAAGCCTCAAATGGCTCGGGGGGAGAACAAAGTCATGGTTCTCTTCGGAAAGATGGTTCCTTTTGGAAAGGGTCGCAAGCACAGCGGTGATCAAACCCGCTGTGGTTCAGCCGCATTTATTCATGGGTTGCAAGCCTTATCAACAAATGCCAACAGGTTTCGGCTAAGCCTTTTGAGCCCGCACTACCGCTACGCTGCAAAGTTGCGACGCCAGTATTTATCAAATATGCCAAGAATTGTCCCTTGGGCAAACGAATGGCCCCGGCCAATCGAACTCCCGAAGTGCTTGCCGTGTGACAAAGCTCAATGAGTGTCCCGCAAGTGAGGATCAAAACCAAATTACCATGATGCGCGCATGCAGCACTTCACCCTACCAATCATCCCGGACCTGGATCGCTTAGAAGGAGCACGAAAGTCGCTCTAAGAAAACCACCAGTGATCTTTCTAGAGTTACCGCATGGGGTGTCCGTTTTGGCTGTGTTTCAAAAAGAAATTCAGGCGAAGCCGAATGGGGGTCCACCTTCTTCCCCGTGCAGCTCATCCTCCAGGCGACTCCAGGCGACTCCAGGCCGCCCGGCCCAGCGCGGCTGCTCCCAGAGACACGCGCTGCAGCCGCCCCAGACGAGGGGGGCGCCCTAGGGAAGCGGAACCCGTGGGTCCCACGTGGTCAAAACTCCGAAGTCTGCCTTGACTCACTGCCTAATGCTGACCCCATATTAATCAACCCCTGTTTATTAATAGAGCGGTGTTCCCCTCCGAGCAAGGGGTTGATTCATTTTGGGGTCAACAGTAGTCCTGAGGTCGTGGCCATGAGGAGACCGCATCAGGTCGGCTGCGCCGGAACGGAGCAGGTTTGGGCGGCAGCTAGCCGGCTGAATTTCTGGCTGGATGCGTGCTCCGTCCTCTGCGATTCTCTGCGATTCGTGTGGGCTACTGCGCTGTCCACTCACCCAGCTGGGAATGCCAAGGCGAGCCAAGAAGGCCCAGGCGGGAGCCCATCAGAACGTCAGCGAATGACACCCTTGCTGCTGATGGGGAAGCGGATTAGGCGAACATGCGTGACCTGAACTTAAACAACAAGTTCACACCTAAGAGTCCCCAGTCCCCACGTCATGGGTATGAAAAAACAGCTTGCCTCATCTGAAAATGGGTACGCATGCACCCTTCCCTTTGCGCAGCGAAAAGAACACTACAAATCTCTGGCCAACCCTCCCCAAGACCCAACCAAGCCTCCCTTCAGCCCACTGCAGCCTTCGCCCCAAGCCCAAGCCCGGGCCCACCCCCAAGCCCTCGGTGGCCGGCAGATCACGCGGACATCTTGGGGGAGCCCATGGGCGGCGGGGCCATAAAGCCCTGGAAGCCCTGGATCCGATGGTTTTCGCGACGTTTTTCGTGTCAAAAGAGGGGTGGCTTGGCCAGTGGAGAGGCTTGTGCGAGGCATAGTGAATTGCGCCAAAAGTCAGGCTGGTTTTGAAATTTTGAGCAATCAAGTCCATGCTGAGGCTAATAAAATATCGCAAATGAGTCTCCCTCTCCCAGGCTGACGAAGACCCTCATGTGCCAAGGGTGGACATGTCATGGGAAGGGCTCCTTTTGGCCACATCTCCGCCTGAGCAATGCCCAGCCTGATGTTCCCTCCCGTCACTCTCCTAGCAAATGAGGTCAACTGGTACTTAACAGTCGCCTCTAAGGTAAAGCCATACTGGCAACTGCTCAAAAGGCAGGGGGTGCCGCTATGTAGCAAAGCCGGGTCAAGCTGGCCCCCGAAAACAAGCAAAACCAACGCCAGTTGTAAGCCAGTACTCGTCAGTCAGCCCTGGTCCGTCTTGCGCGCCCACATGAAGCACAGCAAGGAATCTCCCTGTGTTCGAAGCCAGTTGGCTCCAAACAGCTCGGTCCCCCCAAGTCCGCCCCGGCCTGCCCCAGCCGAGGCGATTGCATGGGCGGCGGAGGCGTCATGTCCATGGCCTGCCGTCGCGAGACATGAGCCAAAACCTGAGTTGGGCCTATCCAATATGTATATTTGTATATATACATTTATATATATATATACACATAAAGATAGGCAATATACCTACGAATTGTATACCAAATGAAAAACACAACTTACATATATATATATATATAGATATATGACCCAGGTCCGCGGGCCACCGGCCCCCCTCCCCTCCCGCACTGGCCCGCGGTGCCCCTCGATGGCAGGTCCAAAAAACCCGAGTCCCTGTGGTTCCCAAAGCCCCGCCCCCCAATCCTAAGCCCCACCCGCAGCACCCCGACCCCCGAGGACAAAATGTGAGCTTGATGCAAGGGGGAACGCTGGCCCCCGCCCATGTCATGACCCATACATGATCAAGAGCATGGGCTAGGCCGACCGATGCCACTTCAAGTCAAAAATCAGATGTACATGAACATATAGACAAGTATTACATTGATATGTGATCCACCGCGAACAAGCATCACCCCCCGCCTGAGGCGGCTGCATTTGATAGCCAGCGTATGGGTAAGACATGGGCGGAGGATGGTGCATGGGTGGTCCCATGCGGTGCATGCCCTGCATCATCTGCGGTGGTCCAGGCGGTGGCAAGGGAGGGCCATGGGGCGGCTGTGGGGGCCCTGGCGGCCCGGGTGGCCCGGGTGGGCCGGGTGGCCCATGCGCGTGGGGGTACTGCGCTGCTGGCAGCGAGTGCGTCATGGGCGGATACGACATGGGCTCTTGTGGCATCGGCATGTGTGGGGGGCCCATCGCTGGCTGCGAGGTCATCATGATGGACGGCATGCCCTCAGTGAACACCCGAATGTCTCACCCATGGCCACCTTGGACAACGCTTACTCGAATTGGCCATGCATATCGTAACAACCTTGTAGCTGCAGACTCTCCACCTGAAGTCATCAAATGAGCCACATGTCAGGCGCAGCCGCACTCCGGGGTCCAGGCTTGCAGGTGGTTGTCTGCCCCCACCTGACAAGATAGCGCAAGGAAGCGATCGGCGCGTGCGAGGCCAGGCAGGCCGGCGCTTTGAAGTGGCTGGGCGCTGGACCGTTGGGCCATAGATGATGTGGTGACCCGGTTGCATCACCTGGCCAGAGATGATTTGTGGGAAGGGGTCCCATCCCCTTCTCGCTCGTCAGAAGAAAATCTACAAGCTGAACATTTGGAATTTGACTGCTCTGGAAGCATTGTACTTAGTATTGTACTTCTGTTTTGGTTCAAGTCCTGACCACCTCACTGCTTGGCTCCTTGCAATGCTGGGAATAAGCGACTCAATGTACCAACGCAACTATCCCAACCTATTTCCAAATTGAATACCCCCCCACAACAAACCATTTCGCGAACCAAGGAACGAACCTTGCGGATCACCGGGAAAGGTCGCTCCCCTACCGTGGAGGGAACAAACTCCTTCGACCGTTGAAATGAAATGAAGACCTATGAATGATGGGGGCAAACCACCTGTCCTCCCGCCTCCGGAGGCGGCGGGTGATGATGAGCATGGTGGAACGGTTGCACACTCAGTAGCGGCTTCCCGGACCTCGCCGGCCCAAGGTGAGGTCAAGAGCTGGGCTGCCATGTGGGGATATCTTCAGTGTCTCGAGCTTGTGAATATCTTCAATATGTGTATATTTAACATCAGAATGTGCACTTGATGCATCCCAAACTCACAACAACTTAGTAGTTTCATGTGCCAACTGCGAATCCGAAAGAATGTCCGGACTGGCCTGTTGTAGCCCTGTACCGGCTTCAACCAGCATTCCTTTGATCAGCGCCTTCATAGAAGTTGCAAACCAAGGCTGGGCATGCCAAAATTGCGAAGACCCTGTTCTGACTTGGACCACAGACCTGAAGAACTCCTGTGGCCAGATTCCACCTTGCTTAGTGTTGGTCGTGCCACAGTCACCAGTTGCCTTGTTTTTGGGCACGCGAACCCACCCACTGGGGCGCAAGTCAGTCTCCCAGGTTCAGCTCCGAAACATCTCCCAGCCTCTCTTGCTCGGCATAGCTCACGAAGGGCACCGCATGCGCCTGGAGTCGGCCAATTGAGCCAACTGACTTTCTTTGAGCTTCCGGCGGACACGGCCCTCCAGCCGTATAAATCACAGTTGCAATCAAAACCACTTAGTATCCGTGCGCAGTCTTTTGCCATTCCGCGAACACCTCTAAGCATGTCCTCCTTCTGCGGCCACAAAACCTCGGGGCACCCCGACAAACCGAACCCCTGGCCTGCAGTGTGGACTGCACCGGGGCACTGGAGACCTGTCCAGTTTTGCGCGAGAAGCGGAAAACTCACAGCAAGGGCTCGCAAAACGAAGGTACCTCCAATGCCGGTTTTCCCTAGGCAGCCCAAAACAGGCCCTCACAAAAAAAAAAATAAACATGGCCATGGGAGCAGTTGTTGATACCACACTGTCTCTGCCTGTGCCGATTCGAGTCAAGTTGTCAGCCCCCGGGATGGGATCAATCGGGGCCAGGAACAATTTGGCCATCAGAAGGGAGTCACCAGTCGGGAGCTTTTGGACCATGGCGCCGTTCTGGAATCATGGACCGGAAATGGGGCTTTCTTCGGGGGTCCACGGTAAAGGCGCTTGAAGGGTGCAGCTGGGCATCCTTCGTATCGCTGGCACTGCAGTTTTGGCATGTGATGTTGTGCCTATTCAGAACAAGCCTCATCTGAAAGGGAAAGCTGCAGTGCTCCTTGTGCTGGAAATCGGAGCCATGTCCAATAGGGGCACTTAAATGTCCACCCTCGGCGTTGCTTGGGACGAGTCCTCAGGATGAAGACTCTCATGTCCGGCTGGCACTGGTCGGAACCTAACTGAAAAGAGGGATTCCCAAAGTCCCCAGCCCGCCGTGCAGCGGCCAGGCCTGGATCGCTGGCCTGGCATATCCGGTGTCAGGGTCCTAAGAACTTCGCAGTCTAAGGCAGACTGCAGATCCGCAGTCACGCGGGGCGGCGATTTGCTTTTTTCACAAGCAGCACTTCGGAGACAAGGTCCAAGGCCTTCTACGATAATCTAAGGCTGTCGTTATCCATCAGCCACCCTTGGCAGCCTGCATTCATATCTCGGCGGTTCAAAAGTAAACACTCAAGATGGCTCGAACAAGCCGACAAAACAAACCAAACAAGAAAGTGACGTGCCAACCCTCGGAATCTAAGGGCACCTGCCGGCTTTTCGCCGCTCGAAAAATAAGACCTTCCGCCTCCAAGAAGGCAAGCTGCGGGGAGCTGGAAGCCAAGCAGCCCAGCACCCGTTTTTTGTCGCAAGCTGCCGCTTGGGACTGTTGGGACTGTTGGGACTGTTGGGACTGTTGGGACTGTTCAGAGGCGGGTCCTGGGCCGCTCGGAACTCTGCGCCTGATTTTTGTCTGACTGAACCTTCCGCTCTCGAGCTCGCCTGGGGATCCGGCGAATTTGGCTCTGGAGCGTCCGGCTCACGGTGAAACTGGGTCGCTTGGGAAGCTTGAGTGAGAAAAAAAAACGAATCAGCTCAAGACCTCCTCCTAGCTCTTGTATTCTATTTGGCGCCTCCCCTTAAGAGAGACCCCCCCCCCCCGCCCCCGACGTCCCGAAGGCTCATGTGGCTGTGGCAAACATCATGCCACTTGGGGGCGGGAAGACAAAGAGGCAGGAGACCAGCACAACCATGAAGCTCTCCACCAGCCAGTAGACGTTCATGGGCCAAGTCAAGCAACTGTGAATGCCCTTCTCACTCTTCATGTTCTGGGCACGGTACCACATCAGCCTGGGCTTTTGCTAAGTCACCCTTTTGCCACAAAGGGGAGGAAATTGCCGTTGTCCAACAGCAAAACAGCCAAAGTTATTTCTAGGGCTCCAGTTGCTTCCAGGGTAAAGTGGTTCAAGGCCAGTGAGAGCTAAGGGACATAGAATGCGTATAATAGATCACTGAGAGGACCACGGGCTGGGTCCAGTGAAAATGCACGAAGTTCTCTCCATAGGCCTCTGAGAGGCAAGCAAGGACTGCCGACCACCGATAAGTGATAAAGGTGAAGATCCAATCCGCGCCCACTCTGGCCAGGCCGTTGGCCCAATTGATCTGGAGCCCGTTCAGGATGAAGAAGAGCACGAAGGAGATGGCGCAGGCCATGGTGGTCAAAGTGCCCACGAGGTTGGCCTGCAGCACGGTCCTAAGCAGCTGCACCGTGCCCAGGATGAAGACCGCTGCCACGTCGGTCCACATCTTCCAGGTGAAGCGGCTCCCGTCCAGGTAGAAGTTGAAGGCGGCGAAGGTGAGGAAGATGGTGGCGAAGGTGCTGAGCAAGAGCAGCACCGAGAAGTCACAGAACCGCCAACTCCTCAGCGATCCGAGGAGCCCCCAACCAAAAATACCTAGTAGCTTAGTAGAAGGGCCTCCGGTCAATCTTTGACTAGACATCCGAAAACAAGAATCAAGGTGAAAAGGTTGGCAATCGCAACTGAGACTCCAGTAGAGGGGAACGATAAACCACAGGATGGAGGAGGCACATACCACCCTGTCCCGCGGGCAGTATTTGCTCAGCTCCTCATCCTGAATATCCATGTTTTTGAGAAGCGGCTCCTCTAGATTGGACCCGCGAACTGAGTCGGAATTGTGAAACGACATATGTCCTGCAACCAGATCGGGCTTTCGGAAAGCAACCAATTCCAAGCACGAGTCACAGGATGGAAGCTCAAGACACTAGGTCACCCTTAAATATCACCACATGGCTGGGTCATGGGAGAAGACACACTCGGTCACCCTGTTGTACAGCTTTTGCCAAGTAGGCGGCGGCGCCCAGGCGAGAAGTGCATGGGCAGCTCATCCTGGCAGACGGCAAACGGTGCCAACGCCGAACGCTACAAAAGTCACAACGGGAGAATGGAAGTGATTAATCCTTTTTGAGGCAAGCCACAAGATCTTATCTCTTGGCAAGCGGCCCACGAATGAAAGCATTGGCAACCAGTGTGCGAGGCTGTCCTTTCTCTTCTTCTTCTTGTTCTTTCGCTTCCTCTTCTCGTGCTCATAGTGGCAGAACTCGCAGTTGTACCTCACTCGAGTCCGATTTATTTTCCGAACAAAAGGCGTTTCATCAAAGGCTAGTCTGGCCAAACCCCACACACGCATGTGACGAACTCGAGCCCAGCTCGACAGGGAGCTGCCCACTGTTCGCTGGGTTAAGCTCCCTGCCCATTGGTACACCGCCCCCTGGGAAAGAAGCAGCACCTCGCTTCCAGGCTGCGAGGTGCGACCGCATGGTTCATATCACAAAGTGTTTCTTGCAAATAGATCGATCACCACGTGTTCTCCGCAGGAGGTCGGCTGAAAAACCCCTCATTCACCAACAGTTCAGTAGGTGGACGTGATCAGCAACGCTAATGCCAGCCTTAGACTCCATTGAGCATGATGCGCGTTGCCCACGTCACAATCACAGCATATACAACCAATCATCGGGATAACACTAATCATAATAATAAGAACAACAATAATAACATTAGTAACAATACAATAATCCTAACGGACATTCCCATGATCGTGATGCATTCTTGCAGAGTTTCTGTGGGAGCCTGTGCTCCACCAAGCCTTAAGTTGCCCAGGAACGCCCCAGTTCGGATAAGCGATTTTGGTCCAACGCATCCGCAGCGAACCGAAGGAGGTTACGCTGTCATTCCATCCCATGCCAAGCAAACCTTCATTTCGGAAAATTGCCCGCATTCCACAAAATACGGAAAGGGCTTGAAAGGAACCGTGAATGAAAAGAATGTAGGGGGCTAAGTGGTGGAACTGCAATGTTCCCGAAGAGCCAAGGGCGCTTTTCCCTCTAAGGGCCCCGGGCCGCTTGCAGCTGCCGTCTTCATGGCCCTGACAACAGGCATGTCCCTTCTGGGAGTTGGCACACCTCCAAAAGCAATCATACGCTTTTGGGGGCATACTCAAACGGACCGCCCTGCTCTTTTCTGGAAACTCCATTAACTCGCAGACTCGGAAAGCAACTAGGAAATGATGCGGGTCTGATTTTTGATTAGGGACCTTTTTGTGGCGAACATTTACACTGGGATTTGTGTCCGCCATCCCCATGAAATTCATAGCCATCTCACCATGGGCCGTTTACCTTCAATGGTCACCAGGTTCTTCAACGTACAGTGCTGGCCCCGGACTACTGTTTGATGATTGGCGGAAGCCCCGATCATTTTGCTTGACTGCGTGCTCCGGTTCCAACCAACAAAACACATTGTGGATGATCTTGATTGTGAAGCTTGAGTGCCACTGGCATCATTGACCTCGCTGTGCACGTTCCCCCCATCGCCCCTGTCATGCGCCGAGGCCTGGCTCTCTGCGCCCAAACGGCCTCTCTCCGTCGTCCAAAGCCCAGGCGCCTCCGAGCCCAGGGAAGGGTGGATAGCACCCGCCGGGGCCTGCGGCGCGTCCTGCAAAGCCCAAAAGGAGCGCATGGTTGGAGAACCGAGTTCATCTGAACTCACCAAACACAGGAATCCTTATGTGGGTTTCCGCTCAGCAACGGGCAAGCCAATTGAGCCTGACTGGAAAAAGTAACTATACCTGACTGGAAAAAGTGAATATGCAAAATCGGGAATCAAAGGAATGTTGCAAGCAATGGTCACTGGCACCTGAACCCCAACCTTCAGCTTGCAACTGTCACCAGGCAAAGCTGAACGCCGTGCCCACCGAACTCATCCAATCCTTGGCTCCAACCTGTCGATTTTAAACGGGGAGAGGAGTCACTCTTGGCTGGTCTTATCCAATCGCAGGCGCGTTGAACCTGATCTAGTGACCGGTGAACCATCTGACCCATCCCACTTCAGCCAACTATTGAATGGGCGCGGCAAGGCCAGCTTCCACCCCTTTCGGTCCGCCGGATTGCGCAGATGCGGAGGAACGCACTGGTCGTCCGACGAATCCTGGACGGAGGGCTTAGGAAGGCCGCACAGCAAAACATGAGTGACGACTACAACCCTTCACTCGGAGAAACACATCAGAACGTGGCCTGTTGATAAGCTTACCGCAAGCCGGACGGTTATGCGAAAGTTCAAACCCCTGTGACTCCTCATCATCCGGATCCATATGCAACGGCGCCATTGTTGTAGCGGTACCGTTCCTGGCACACTTTGCAAGCACTTCTCTCGACTTCAAGGGCCAAAGTGCCCATCCCCGGCTGTCTCTGATCATACCCCAAACCCGAAAAACTGAGCATCAAAAACCAGAGTTGCAGCCCCCATATATAGTGTAAAAACCGGAGATCCAGAGATCAATCCCTTGAGGCTCGGGCCGCAACGTTACCGTCGTGGTTTTGGGGGACGGTACCTCGGCACAAACACGGCTTCAAGTTGCACACTGTCGGCCGACTGAGAACAAAAGAGCTGATGTAGAGAATCAATTCAGCCGAGCGTGGATCAAAACATGTGCAGGCGTCCTCTTCCAATGGAAGGTAACTCTTGCTGGGCACGGGCAACAAATGCCAAAATATCGAGAAGTTCAAAGCCCGCCAGCACGCGACTTGTGGTCCTTTCCAGAACCCTTGCAGTTTGCTTTTGAAGGCCCTCTTCTGACATTTTCGGAGATGGTTCACAGAGTTGAAACCTCAGACCCTTCACAGATTAGTCTGTTAGCCAGCCGGGGTTGTTTTTTGGGGACCCCCGTTTTGGGCTTGCTCTAAAGGGAAACCAGAATGAAAACCACAAAAAGTAGACGTTCTCTTGACACCCAACTGGGCCAAGTGCCGAATAGACCGTAGTCGTGCTGGCCGTCGTGAACCTAAGGCATCGATTGAGCTGCGAAGCTGCCTTCATAAACCAAACCTCCACACCCACCACGTCGTATGTATCAAAACTGAGGCCCCTTTTAGGGATTGCAAAGAAAATCACATGAAGCCATGACCAAGCAGGTGACAGTCATTCCAGAGCTCAGGAGGCAACACCTCCAAAATACAATCAGACCCCATGCAAGCAACCCAACCTTGAAAGGAAGGCTTAGCATTGCTAGCTGTCATGCGTTTGCATTCTTGGCAGTTGAGGTTGGCCTCTCTTGCCTCCTCCACCTGGTTCAACGTGTCACCCCAAGCACTATACAAGCTTTAAGTCGCAGTAATAATGCTTCGGGGTCTTCCAAGCACCAAAGGCGTTGCTGCAAAATCGGCTGTTACTCCTGGCCCCAATCAACAGGTGACCGATGTCTGCAAAGTCGAGTGCACAGCACCCGTGTGTAAGACTACTTTCCTCTGGGGAACGTCCATGTTGGGAGGGTACCAACTCCAAAGATGACACCCAGCATCACATGCACATTGGTGGCCTTTGGAAGAAAATAATTAGATGGCCCTGCTAAATGGAATGAAATCATGTTTATTCCATCTAACCAAAGTGACCTAAAAACCGAGACGACCCCCCAGACTCCCAATTGAGGGGCCCCACTGCGCCAGGGAGATCTTGCCGGAGGGCGAAGGGGTGGCCATGGGCGAGTGCCTGGCAGATGGCTGAGGAAAAATTCTCCGGAGACGGCGTGTGAAGCCTAGGGCACCCAACCAAAGGTTTCCTAAGGCCGGAAGCTACAAAAGGAAGCGAGCCGTTTAAGGCGCGCCTTGTTCTCAGAGTTGTGGGTGCAAAGCCCTCCGGCGTGAAATGTCTGACTGCCCGCTGTGGAAATCAAAACTTGCGGAAATGGAACTCGTTCCTGTCCAGTGCAGCTGCAGCGCTGCAAGATGCACAAGCAACTCCCCTAGCAGAGCGTACTCCAAATGAAAAACAAAAAAGGTACATGGCATCTTTGCTCTCGCATACGAAGTGCATAGAAACAAGGTCTTGCAGAAGGGGTACATAGCTTTTAAAAAAATGTAGTCACAGTCTTCTCTGGGTGCACTGCAAATTACGCCGTCCATTCGCCACCTGGGCGGGCTTGACATGGACTGGGATAAGGACACCAAATCTGGCCTACAGCTGGCTTTGTATGGTGATTCGGTCAAAATACTAGAACTGGTTCTCTTCCTTCTTTTCTTCTTTTTTTTTTGGGGGGGGGGTAGGGGAAGGGGCTCACAATTTGGATGAGGGCAATATTGGAACTGTAAAGCCTGACAGGTATTCAACTGCGCCCAATAAAGACCATCCTCTTTAGCAACATGTAAATCCAACAAGCGGCCGGGCCTCGCTTCTGTAAGAACTCTGGAGCTCTCTTTTCCGGGGCCCCGGCCCCAGTGGCCGGCGAGGCAGGGACACCCTGTGTCATTGCGACTTGGGGCCCATGGTGTGGGTCTATCACGGCACAGGTCTCTTCTGGACCTCCAAAAAACACCACCAGGACCACCGGCACCACCACCACCGCCGCCGCCAAAACCACCAGCCAAGAAATATACCTTCAATTTTGGTTGATGTCGATCTTTTTGAAGGGGCCCTTGGAGGGGGTGGCATGGAAAGTCACCAATGGGCCACGGGGAGATACCGGGAGCACTGATTGCTACAACATCATATTGAGCCACAGAACAAATCCTTTGCTGCACTGGTACACAGGGCTAAATTCCGGTCTCTTCTTGGTCATCTCACCTTTCCTACTTTTGAGAGTTGGGCTGGAAGGACCCGTAATTTTGGAAAGTGTCTCACCCTATAAGAAATCTATTAAGGGTTTGGCACCGCTGCCCTGGACTCCTTTGATCCATGCGGTTTGGTCTCCCGGCTGGGTCCCAAGAGCACCAAGGGACAGCTCGACTTCTCCGTGTGTCACCCACACCAAAACAAGGCACTGTGTCCAACATGTGGGTTAGTCATGTGTTTAGGGCCCGCACATTCGCTTGAGCACCTCCGGTGGTTCCATGCGGCTGAAGCCCCCCCACAGTTCTATGCGCCTGATGGCCCACTGGCGAGGGCATCGCTAGGGTGCAGGCCGCCAGGGTCCTGTGCCAGTGGTCAATAGCAAGCCAGGAACGAGATGCTGAAAATAAAGGATGGGTGAAAAATCGGACCCTTGACTGGACACAACTCAAGAAAGTTGCGCTGCTTCTTTTTCCCTGGCCTTCGCGCCACAGGGGCCATTGGGTTCCCTTTTCGGGCAGCACCTTTCTTTGCATCCGGACTTCGAAGGTAGTCAGGTCCAATCGAACAAGGGCAAGAAGACGCCAGCAACCGCAGAGCAGTGATCTCTTCTTTTTGGGACCTTGGTTGACTGCATGCATGTCGCGCATGTACCGTGCCACTTCACGCTTTATCCAGCGCCCCTCACCCAGGCCACTTGCGGACGGCCAAAGTTTCCCTCACCAAGCCGTCAGCTCCTCTGCAGGTACCCAGGTCCGTGAATGAGGTCGGCTGGCGCAGTCAGCATGGGATGATACCTGGCATTCAGGTACATGCAAGTAATCAGTGAGAAAGAGCAAACCGTGCTGCCTTGCCTCTTGCCCATCCCTTGACAGAGTACCATCCCCCACAGCTTTCTGCCACAATACTGCACAGGAGCACGGCTTGTCCAGCTTCATCGCCGAAGGCGTGAGTCCTGAAGGCACCTTGCGAGCTTACATGGTAAGCTGATGTCTTTTGGCTTCTTCGCAACACGATGATCTCCGCCCCAAGACGGCAATACAATACGCCCGCTCGTCAGCAGCTCCTCGTTGAGCTATTTTGACATCTCGCAGGCGTAGGGGTTGCTTGGCGTGCCGTCATGGCAATCATCTCAGGACTGCACGTCTATGAAGGTGTTCTTGACCGGCAGTGGTACACCATTGTTGGTCGCACCAAGCCTCAAAGCCAGTCACTCCAAGACTGCATTTCAGAGAGCCGTAAGCAAACATGGTACATGTTATATACATGTCTGCAATGAAACTGATTAATGCATGAAACACTCCGCACAACGACACAGAGCTCTGCAGGCTGGAGCGATATCAGTAGCAGGCATGCTGAAGTCATCCAATTAGCATTGCCCGCAACACGAATAGAGACGGTTGGTTGCTCCATTGGTAAAAGCCGACCGTTTGTTCCAGACAAGTCAGAGTACTTGTGAACAGCTTTACGCATGTAATCTGAGATTCATGTAAATACACAGCCATGTGCGGAGGTATACATATCTAGCAGTTTCAGCTTGGTACTGACCCAAAATTCACCAATATGGCCAGGTGTTGTTTAAAAATTCAGACCAACCAACAAACACTCTAAGCAAATTGCTACAGTTCACTAAGGAAGGGCCCTTCAGCTCGTTGTACCCCCAGGTGAGCTTTCTTCCCCACAGTGCAAAAAGATGCGATGGAGGCACAACCTCCCCCCTTCCTTTGCACCAGTGTGGGTCAAGTCTCTCCTTGTTCCTTTCACCCAATGCATCCGCCCTAAGGCCCTAGCAGTGTGGCATTTGCACAGGTCCTGGCCAGCGAAAGGTAGCCATGGTCAACCATGAGTTCCCCAGGGCTAGAAACGAAAGATTAAGGGGACCAGTAATGTGATTAATTGGTACCCTTCGGGCAACCCATCAAGAACTGATCGTAAAACAAGAAATGAATCATGCTGCCTTCAATTGACAGAAAATGTGGTCTGACATTCTGAAATGTAATCCATCCAAAGCAACGAGTTCAGTGAGACTCGGCCATCTGGCAAGCCTTGCTGCCTGCCGTGGTCGGTATTTACAAGTTGAGACTCAAATTGCAAGAGCCATGCTGAAATATTTTCCGTGTGATGTTGGAAGCTTTTAAAGTTGTACGATGGTAATTTCTAGTGGGAAGATCAAGACGTGGCGAATCGAGTCGGATGCGAAACTGGAGCGGCCCTGAAGTAAGCACTCAGCCCAAGAAAACAAAAGCAAAGGAGCCGTGTCAATAGTGGCTCATGGCGTTGGTGTCCGTTTGACGGTCTCTAGTTCTTGGCACCCGAGTCAGCTCCTGCCATTCAGTGCATCATCAGAAAGCGGCGCCCTAGGCGCAGGCGCGGTGTTTCAGGCGAGCTTTTACCAGCGGCCATCGTGATAAGTCCACAAAAAACCCATCTGGGTGTCTCTTTCTCAATGGACCCTCAAACCGGGGAACGTTCCCCGAATGTTTCCTAGCCGCGAAAAAGGAGCACACATCTGAGACCACAAATGCCCATCTGAGAACGAGATCTCTGGGCATGAGGCGGCCTTCTGGGAGGCATGCCGGCCACCTGAAATATCGCAACTCGAAGGACTCGAGCGAGCTCTCACATGGGAAAATTGCTGGGTTCAGGGTTTGCCTTTTCCACTGAAATGAACAGCTTTATCCCACAAACAGTGGAAAAGGCAGACCATGGGTGGGTTCCCCAGTGCTCCTCGGAAATGTAGTGACTCCTCTAGTTGTCCCTTCCAAGAATGGATGCTACTAGATTCGTCGGACCTCGCAAAGCATGCTCCTTGTCACTGAAAAAGAAGGTGAATGACGGGTCCCGAGAACCGCTGCATCGGTCGCACCTTTAGGGGCCCCACGTGAAGCCTGAGTACTCGCAACAAAAAATGCGTGATAAAAATACTGGCAGTTGATGAACACCTGGTTGCCAGGTCAACGCAATCACCAAGGACTCCTTTGCATGTTGGATGGTTCCTGCGCAAGATCTGGATGCGCCTCTTGACCAAGCACTCACAGCTTTGATGCCTTGCTCTTGCCACTCTCCCACTTGCTGGTGGGTTCTGCCCATTGAGGAATCAGATGCAGGTTAAAGTTAGCTAAATGAGTTCAATTTCGAATTGCTTGAACCCTTCCGTCCCTGGCTCAAACCACAACACCAAGCGGCTTTTCTCGATAAATGGGGGGAACCTCCAAATTGGGGGGGGGGGGGGGCCTCCTTTTGCTTGGCTTCATCTCTTGTGCAACCTCCAAACACGGCACAAACTGAGCAAAAAAGGCACACTGGCCTGGGCCATGTTTCGAAGGGCGTTTCCTGCCCCCACAAAACAAGAAAAACATCAATGCCTCCGCTCAAAAGCGCGGGCTGCGCGGCCGCGCTTCGTAGCCCTTCTGAGCCGGAAGGGTTTCTGGCCGCGACATTCTCAGCGTAAGGAGTCAGGCACAGACTCCCAGCTTCGTACAGCCAAAATCCTCGTACAGGGATCTAGGGCCTCCCCTCTGCACGTGTGTTAGAACCTGGTGTCTCTTGATGAAAGGAGGGATCATCGCAGCTTGCCTTGACATCGCGTGGAAAAGGTGAGTCAGAATCAAATGATGAAGGCTGACCAAAACTGTGCACATCAAAAGAGCCTCTTCCATGTGGGACAATCCTCGGCTGGGACTGGCTGAAACCCGCAAGCAACAGGTTCAGACGTGTCCCTGATAAGGTCCAACTTGCTCATGCACCCAGCGTCTTTTGCGTGCGCATCACACGGCTGTGTCGCTAATTGCCACAGCTGGAAATCTCAGTGTGAGATGCGTTGCAGGCAGCATTTAGGAGAATATCAAGCACGAGCAAGTCCCCAGCACCAAAGGCGTGTGCATCAAAACGGTGTTGCAAATGTGCTGATGTCTGTCCCGAATTGCACAACCGTAAATGATTGGAGACAAACTTCTCAGGAGATTCTTCGCAACCTCCAGGCTCCAATCGCTGGAAATAAGGATACGGCGAGGAGAAGCGCCTCGGAGAGCAACTTATCATCCGGTATTAAAAACAGGGTGAGACGATCACAAGACTGAGCCAGGAGGTGAAACAGGATATTCGTTATGCGGCAAAGCCAGCGATATCGCATTTGCGACTTCGAACCTGCGTGAGTCTTGCGCACCATGGCAATAGTAAAGGTAAGGACTGCTGGCAAAATATTGAAGCACCATGCCAGAAAGTTGACGACCACCGCGCCAGCCTGCAGCCAGCGCTCCTCCCGGATCCGCGCGGCTGTGTGGTCCATGTAGGCCCACCAAACGGGCATAAACGTTGAGAGCATCGCCCAGTACGACCAGGGAAACCTGCCTAACTTCTCTCTCACCGCATCACGCACGGTGGAGGAAATGATGGACTCGCAGGCATCCTCTGACCCAAACCAGTGGCACATACACTGAAGGAGGATGCTTCTATCACAGCCCACAGGCTGCCCATCTGCATCCGTGTGATTATTGGTGCAGCAGGAGCACTTTACATCCTTTAGAGAAAAGCAGCGCAAGCGAGCATCCAGGGTATCAACTTGAGAGTAGAAGTCAAAGACCAGCATCTCAAGCACAATCGCATTCGCCAACAAGCCAACAAGGCCGACAACGATGACAATCACATTGTCAAAGGGAAGGACCACATTGCCGAGCATAATTAGAAAGGCGAGCCCGAATTGCGCCACCCAGAAAGTGCCACAGAAGGTCGGCACGATGAGGAGGTGCTGCTTGGCCTCCTCTCCATGACTCTTCATGAACGCAGCCAATTCATAAATACACCAAAGCCTCTCAACCCAGGTCTCATCCCACACCACCAACATCCCCTTGGCGCTCTTGATAACGCCACCAAAGCTCATGAGACCCATCTGTTTCAGCTTCAGGTCCGTTTGATGAATGCACAGGAGGTCAACCCAAACAATCCTTTGAGATCGCCACAGGCACACCACGATGCAAAACAGCAGCGCGCCGGTCAAAAGACACCAAGGGGCGATCTCCACCAGAGGTCCTCTCCATGGCTGTTTCGTGTAGCCTGGGATCAGGTCAAAGCAGGAGAGGCCAAACGGAACTGCTGCACCCAAGGTGCCGGCGATGGCGGCAGCCAAACCGTTGTAGCGGAGAAACAACGTCAATGCCTTCTTCCACGCTGGCGTCTGCCAACTGTGCGACCAAAACTCCTGGAGCTGCTTGTTCGTCTCGTAGCTGTACTGATATCCGTGGATCGCGGCCCTTTTGGGCTGGGCAATAGCCCGCATCGCGCGCCCGGCAGTCACAACTCTTGGCTGCTTCATGCCCATGAGCCGCATTGCAGCAAGCCACTGCACCAGCCGCTCCGTGTACACCGCATTCGCCAGAGCTTGCTCTTCAGAAGGGCGGTCCATGTGACGCGGTCCTTCTATTCTTGAGCCAAAGTGCCTGATGCGCACAAGGAACCAAAGTCCGTGCAACGGCCATACGCGATGCCCGCTGGCTTTGAGGACTCCACCTCGTTCCTAAGCCGAAAGTCAAGGGCCGAAGTGGCATAGACACACTGACCTTCCGCTCCTTTTCTCCCTCCAACAGGGTAGTGACCTGGCGCGCTGCCGCCTGGGCCGAGCAGAAGCAGCCCAAAAAGCTGCTCTGGGACCAGAAGTCCCCGGCCACTACAACGCGGCCATGGACGGAGCATGGCGCCCACAGCGAGAAGCTCGTCGGCACGCTCTCCTGGGCAGAATGCTTTGGCCGACAGACCCGTAAACAGGGCACCGGTAAGAGGCAATTCGCCAACTTGGCAAGTACAACGGATGTTCAGAACAACTGTAGAAGAAAGCACCCAGACGAGCGATACAAGCACCCCCCCAACCCCCCAAAACCCCCACCCAACCCCGGCCAGTGAGGGACTCCAATCCTCCGACCATGCCTCCAACACGAAGGCGTCTGGGAACAAAAAACAAAAAAACACCCGCCACACCTGCCACACCTGCCACACCCGCCCCACCAAGGCCGGGTCTCGAGAGGTCGGACCATCTGGCAGCAGCTCCAGTCGATGACCCTGGACCCCAGCAGCAGTTCCTCCACAGGGAAACCCACCAGGCGCCTCACCGCCCCCAGCGCCTCCTGCAGAAAGCCCTCCGACTCCGCGCAGCCGCCCTGACGATGGCTTGGGCGCCCAGCTCTCCATACCCTTAAACTCAAGGACCCGCCACATGGTCTCAAGACGAAATGTTGGAGATCTTCATGAATTCCATCATGAAGATTCTCCCCTGCAAATATCAGGTTTCCGCCGATCTAAGGAAGAAAGGGACCCTTTTGAAGGGCATCTGTGAAAGTTTCCCTGGCCATGTGCAGTGCAGTGGAGCAAGCCTCCGAGTGAACCACCAGCAGCATGGGGTCCCCGTGCCCTACGCCGCATGAGGAACTTCTTTTGGCATTCTGCCAGGCGACCAGGTGCACTTTCCCGTCCTGGGGCCGCGGGGGGTGGCTTGTTCAGTTATCGTGTTGCTTCCAGAAAGGCGTTCAACCTCTATGATTCTTCAGCGAAATGAGGTGCAAAGACAACGTGTCACTCATTGGGCGACTGGATCGTCTACCGGCACAAGCCAACAAAACAAAAAAGACTTTGAAAGTGGTCGAGCAAGGCTTTCGGTGGCCAGGCTCTGTGAAAATCGATGCGGTTGTGGGATACTATTGGTTGCCAGTTTCTGTGAGGACTCTTCTAGTGACCTCTACAAGAGGGCTGTAGGCTTAGCTAGAGGCTATCACGAAAAGGAGCTCCCATGTTCTCCCATGTCCTCCACAGTGAGCTCCGCGTGATCCTCAAAGGCCCCAGCCACCAGGGGATACCTCAGTTTGTGGCCGGCGTGCGCCCGCTCTCTTATCCCAGATGCCCCTCTTTGCAACAGGTGGAAAGAAGGGCTTGGGAAGACTGCCATCATCTTGCTACAACCTGCTTTCTGCAGCTGCACAAGGGAGGATAAGAAAGGCTGAAGTGTCAGTCAAAATGAAAGCATGTGGTGGGTCCTGTTATGTCCTGTTGCTGCGGAGGACATCCATCTCAACCAATAACCTCACAGTCTATGCTAAAACCGCAAAACAAGCGCATCTCTTTTGGAGGACAATCCCATCTCAACCAAACTCCGCAAAACTTGGCACGGCGTTGCTCACCCGAGCCGCGCCGCGTGGTCCAGCGCCAGCGCCGCTGCGCGCCGGGCGTCGTAGCCCAAAGCCCCCAGCGCCTTCAGCGCCGCGTCCGCGTCCGCGGCCGCGGCCGTTGCCAGCAACCGCCGGGCCTCCGGCGCCGGAACCGCCAGCACCACCACGTCGGCCTGTGAAAGCGACGCCAAGAGGCGGGCGGTTCGTCGTTGTCCTTACACTCTTTGACAAATGTCACCAACCCTTGAGGGCTTTCCCCAGTCGCGTTGAAGGTCAATGTTTGATGACATCCTCAGGTACTCCGGTGGTTGATGTGAAGGATATGGGTAAGAAAACAAATGTCGTAAACATATGCTGCAAATGAGGTGACTGGTACCTTGTGTTCCGTGAGGGATGATCTTGATAACCCCCCAAACATAAGCCGGCATGGTCTTCAGAACAAAACAGTATCACATTTCTGGAATGGTCCACAAAATCCCTGCTCTTTTGGGCCCTCTGCCCACCCGCACCCGCGCACTTTCCCCGGTCCTCCACCTGCACACCTTCGCTCTCCACCCGCGCACGGGCACTCCACGTCTTGCAGGTCACGCGCTCGGCGCGGCGGCGGCAGTGCAGCGCCGCCTGGGCCTCGGCGAGGTACCGCCGCAGCAGTGCGGCAAAGCCGAGGGGCGCCCAGAAGTGGGCCCAGAGGCCCTCGTACTTCATGCGCTCCTCAGCTCGGGTTCCGCTTTGTAGGACTAGAGAGTGTCCAACTTTCCTCTATACTGCGCAAATGGGCTGAATTTGTGGACGCTGAGGCCCTTGGAAGTGAGGGCACGCTTTCGAATTCATCAAAAAACTGATGGCTGTTTGGGATGCACGCAAAGGACAACCCAAACGCGTGCTTCCGCTTTCCACTCCGACCGCGAAACTCTCCGAGCCCCGAGCCTCTCCTCCGTGTCACCCAGCATCTCATCCGGCGCGCGCACCAGCTCGCCCCGCGCCTGCAGTGCCTGAACCTGCGGTCCAAACGGTTCGGCGCTTGGCCATTGAAACAGAATGGGTCTTGCCCATGCAGGCAGACGCCAGCCTTTCGGCAACAAAGCATGCTCCGCGTGTCCTCCTTGTACTCCAAAATTGCAGTTAAACCAAGATGCCTGAAAGAGCTAAAAGGCCAAAAGGGTCAAAAAGGTGGGTCAGGGAAACTGAAAGCACCCCAAACCTTTTCTTGCAAAAAAAAAAAAAGAAAAAAAAAAAGAAACTGCCACCCACCCCTTTTCGGGTGAGCCGACTGCCAAAACGGCCCGGCATTCGTCGCTTCCAGGGACGCGCCCCGCCTCGCGCCAGGCGCAGCGCAGCGCCTCCGTCTGCAGGCCGTGGCCGTCGGCGCCGGCGTTGGGGTGCCCGGAGTCCACCTCCACCACGGACAGCACCTGCCACCCAGCCACTCGGCCACTCGGCCCCTGGCCCCGGGAGAAATACCTGGAGAAGGGGGGCATTACCCTACATAGTGGGGTCATGGATCTACTTTTAAAGGGTCATGGAGACTCCAGGTAGAAAGAAGGTTCAACTGGTTACCTACAATGGCCATTGAACTACTGGTTGCCCTGACGCCGGCGGCCCTGGTGGTCCTGGTGACCTCTTGTTGGAGACTAAAGCGCCTTCTGGTTTCGCTGTCACGCCCAGAGAAGCTCAGAGTTGGCTTGGTTGCAGCTGAGTGGCTTGGAGGGGTGAATTGGGAGAGCCTTCGATCGAAATAGGTTCGCCCAAATTGCAGGAAGTGAGCAAAAATTCGCCCTTGCCGAACAATTACAGCTATTGTTCGGTAACTAAGATCAAGCAAACAAAACTGAGATCCAGATCTGCTTGGTTCCAATGGTAAAACGCCCGGCTTTGCGCTAACGCGAGCCGTTTCGGCAGCTTCGAGCTTCACCTTCCTTGGCCCAAGCCCGCCTGTGCTCCCATGTCGGCCCAGTGGTCCTGGAAGGCAAAGCCTGCGCCAAAGCGGCCTCAGCGAGCATGAAGCTTCAGTCACCGGAGTGAATGTGGCTTGGGCGGGAACCCAGCTTGTCCTCCCTGGAAAGACTGTTGTAAGAGGCTTGGGCCCGAGATACTTCTTGTGGATCTTGATTCAGCCTATAAGCTCCATCCTTCCAACCATGGTCATGCGTTTCCCAAACGCGTTCGCAAGGAGAAGGCTGCCAAGTCTATCCATGCGGCCGGATGGATAGGTGGCGCGCTCCCAAACCTCGATCTCCAGGTTTCGGTTGGAAGCTGAGCGCCTGCCGGGTGTGGATGTTCAACCAGCGAATGAGACCTCTCACTGAGTCCTCCTTCGGCATTCCTTCTTGCCGGGATGGGTCCGCAACTGGGCATGCAAACTGTCATACAGGATGGTTTGTCATCCAGAATTGATACAACTCCCTCGCCTGCGCGGCATGAAACTACTCACCCTCCCGGTTCTCCAGAAATCCCCCTCTCTCGTCCCTGACCCTTCTACCCTCTCGTCCTCTCCCGCTCTCGGGACGCCTCAGCAGCGCGGCCGTGAGGCACCCGGTGAGCCCAGCGCCCACCACCACCACCCTCGGCTTTTGGCGCGGCGGCCGTTCCTCGCAGGCGGCTCTTGGGCCTCGCCAGGCCAGTGCCGGGAGGGCGAGGAGACGCGGAGCCATGGCTGCGAAAAATGCGGCACGACTTGGTGCTCGGTTTGAAGTCCCAAAGACTTCAAGGATTTTTGGGTGGCTTTTGTGTATGTGACCCATCGTGCTTAGCAAAGACCAGAGAACTGCCAAGTGTGCCTGGAGCTGACACCTACCTTCAACATGTTCGCGGGCAAACAGGTTGGACCTGCACGAACGCGCGAAGAAAGCCAACTCAGAAGCAAATGTCGCCACGCGTCGCTTAAGATCAATCAGGACAACCTGAAGGGCCAAGGAAGAACGAGAAAAACCTCCGAGACGAGGAACGTTCAGAATGGGAACAAGCGAAGAGACCTCTTCAGCCTCCGGATGGTTGCTGCAGCCTTCGAGGAGCTCTATCGTGAGCTGGCAGGACATGTCACATATCAGCACCGGGCGGTTCCGCGCAATACCTCCACATCTACACTTTCAGTGTTTGATGTGCGTCCCTTTCTTTGTGCGCAAATTCGCTGCTCGGCTTTGCCGAGCGCCTGGACGATCCTCGTGAAACATGTCCCTTTGCCATTCTCGCAGGGTTACAACGTGCGGTGGTTGGCCGCATCACTGGCCGATGTTTAAGCCGGTGTGTGATTGGCTGTCCCAAGCTTCAGCTGCCAATCTCGAGGTCCGAACAACATATTGCAACATACCCACTACCTAGCCAGCTCTTGATTGGGACAGCTTCTACGTTCGCTAAAGCGAGCTCAGGCGACACCTGAACCAGGTCTTTGCAGTTGCCTCCATCCAAAGCCTTTCCTCGGATTTCCTTGGCCCAAGCCCGCGCCTACACTGAGTCCACGGAGGAGCCAGGCGTGGAGCGACCGAAGCGAACCTGGGAGCAGTCACGATCAGTTTTCCAGTTGGGTTTCATCACAGGCCGACTTTCCTCGTTGATGGAAATGCCTTGTACTTCTCACAGCGAGTCAAAGTTCTCAATGAAATCACGGTTGAGCCACTCTACGGCAAAACGCAATCATTTGGAGGGTAAAGCAGCGGGTTGTCACGTGACAACCGCCGCCAATCCTTGGTGTTGACATGAAGCCACTGGCTCTGCGTTCAAGTCGGTTGCGCTGGAAAAAGAGGGTGTGCCATGGGCAAATGTGGCACAGCCCCCGACCCCAAATTTGTCGCCACCCAGGAAAAGCTCCCCGTGGAGAACGAGTGCCACAGTCAACCTAAAGGGGATCGATCTACCGGCCAACCCACAACTCCACAACCAATCAAAAGGGTGGAGATCCAGAAATTTCCACCAAAAAGAAAATCGGGGGCTCTAACCCCCCCGACCGGCTCCGTCCAGCCGACTCGCCCATGGCACGGCAGGCGCCCGGGCCACGGAGAGCGCCGGGCCCGCGGGCACCGAGGCGCAGCTCGGGGGCACCGAGCCGCTGGACTCGCTGGCCACACTGCGCGACGGAGGTCGGGGGGGGGGCTGGAGGGTGGGGGCGGGAAGGAGGAAGGGGGGGTGGTGGGGGGGGTTGGAGGTTTTTTTGCAAGTTGACATGGAATTTTAAAAAACCTCTGTGCTGTTCATTGGGGCCTTGGGGGGGGTGGAGGGTGTTGGGGTTGAGGGGGGGGGGGATGGAGGGCGGTGGAGGGGGTGGGAGGTTCCTCTGAATTGACATGGAACGTCCTTTTCATGCAACAGGTCCAGGATGTTCAATCGCCAGCCAAGTCGCGGGGTGCTTAACTTGGCAGGTCTGCCACTGGTGCTCCGTGTCCTCTAGAAATGATGGCTTTTGGGGGTTCATGCTAATCTGCAGGAGGTTGCCCTTTTTCCCGCAATCATGGAAGTGGGCGATCGGGGGCTTGCCAAGGAAAGTCGTCCAAAGCCTTATCAGCTTCCATGTCTGGAAAGAGGTTACCATTCCAAGTTGTTCCACATGCAAACAAGGGGATATCACGGGATCGGGTGGGTTTTGCCCAGGAATCGGTTGAAGAAAGACCTCAGTCCAGCGAAAAACCTGACATCCTTGTTTGCCTGTCCCTGGATCAGCCCCCTTGCAACATCCACTGAGTCTCAATCCAAAGTGCGCAGACGCAAAACCCTGAATGCCCGGAGGGCCGATGCCGATGTACCCTGATGTTTCTCCATGAGATGCCCCCATGGCAGTGGAAGCATTGCATTCTCCGGCCTGTTTGAGCTATCATCCGCTGGGGCAGGGAGAGAAGGAGTTAAGAAATTAAGGGAAGGAAGGATTTAAGGAAGGAAGGAAGGAAGGAAAGGAAGCAATACATATCAAAATAGATCAGCGAAAGACAGACAGACAGACAGACAGACAGACAGACAGACAGACAGACAGACAGACAGACAGACAGACAGGCAGGCAGGCAGGCAGACAGGCAGGCAGACAGGCAGGCAGGCAGGCAGGCAGGCAGGCAGGCAGGCAGACAGACAGCCAGACAGACAGAGCGCTTTGCCGCGGATGCCTTGTGCATTTTCACAGATTGGAGCCTGCGATGCTCAGAATGCAGCTGCAATCCCCTTCCTGCCTGTTCTGCTCCGCGCTGCGACGCTTGTGCATGCTCTCCAGCCTCAGGAAATCCAGTTGCCAAGAGGGGCAACGAACGACCAAAATGTGAACTAACGAGCCACTACAAATCATGAGAAAGAGAGCCCTGTAAAACTGTAAAGGCTCCGGCGGGAATAGGGTGTATAACAGCCGCTGCAAATGACTGGACTCAGGTGCCGACTCTCCTGGGACCAAATGCTCCCGAATCCTGGCCATCTCCAAACTCTCACATCCCAGCGGATCCAACCCGGCCACTCGGTCCGGAAACCAAGCAACGCAAAAGAAAAGCCTCGGGCCCTTCGCCGCGCCTCTGCCGTGTAAGCCGCTGCTCTGCGGTCTCCGACTGGCGCAGGGCCTTCTTCCTCTGCCGCAGCCTCCGGAGCCAAATGCAAAGCGGCCGCTCAACGCCATGCTCTTTGCTTTGCAAGAAGGACCCCTTTTGTTCGCATTCGGCAGGGCTGGCTCCTCTGGAGAAGCAAGAAAAAGATACACACCCTCGCTTGGGATGTGGCAGGTGGGGAATCCAGAGGGCGACAAAGGGAAATGCTGTATCTTTTCCAAAAGGCCAAGCAACTCGAGTTTCCATCAAGGCCACAGCTAGAAGCATTTGCCTTTTCAGGCTTTCGTGATGCGAGCCCTGTCTCCAAGACCAGGGCTCTTCCGGCGACTTGTGGTGCGTGCTCTTCTCAGCCTGGGAGAGCTTGCTCTGCCCCAGACTTGACCCAAGTCCATCACAACTGGGAAGAACAGGGCAAAATCCATTCTCAAACTCACATGGTGTCATGGTCGGACTATGGTGAACGCTTCCCTACAAAACCCCTCACAAATGCCTAGCTGCACGCCTGCATGGACCGTCCTGATTGTCAGGAGCTTGGTACAGGGAATCTGCAAATCCGCCGCGCCTTCTTCAAGGTGCTGCCTTTCATGACATTCCTCGGGACCTCTGGCGCCTGCATTTGGGGCAGGCACCAACCCCACCGTTGGGAGTGGGTTGCTTGCCTGCTTGCCTGCCTGCCTGCCTGCCTGGTTGCTTGCCGCTCGCTCGCTCGCCTGTTGTTTCTTCTTTGCTGCCGGTTGCTTCACTCACTTACATCGGACGACCGCCCCCCCCTCGTGAGCACGGCCAATTTGCTGCCCGTTGAACTTAAGATTCAGGCGGAGGGCATGAAGCACGTCGACCCTGCAAGGCCCTGCGAGCTCGCGCCTCCTCGAAGATCTCTCGCACCGCCTGCCCAAATGGGTCCAGACCCAAACCCCTCGGACTGAGCATGCTTCTCATTCTGACTCCTATCACCCAAAAGCTGCAGATATCACGAAGAGGTGCGCACAAGCGTAGAGGCAGCGGACAGCGTGCAGCCATGCAACACACTTGGAACGTATGGCGCGGCCCTGCTGGAGGTCTGGAGACTTGAAAGTCTTTCCAGAAAAAAATGCGGTTGTCGCAGTCAAAAACCGGACAGTGTTCCAAGTGCAGCGCAAATCAGCCTTGGATTCCGCAATAGTGGACTCCTCCGAAGGGCTAATTTCCGTTTGGTTTCCTTATGCTGAAACCAGCCGCTTGCCTGCGGCAGCTGCTCCAGTGCTGGAGGGGGCGTCTCCCTGGCAACAAGGAGAAAATTGGGGATATCCTTGCTGATGGGCGAAAAATCCGGCAGTTGATACATGACTTGTCCCAGCAGGCGTTGTTTTGTGTGTTTTTTTGAATCCGAGCAGGATCTCAACAGGCGTGGGGTCGAGACCATGTTTCATGGAGAAACGCACAGGAGCGCCCTCTGAACACTCAGCACATGCAGGTGCATATATTGCCAAAGCGATGCAACCATAGGTACCCTTTTCAAAAAATAGATGGCACTGGCAAGTGTAGAAGCAAATTGAAACTAGGCCATCTATGGTTCAGTCAAACTGAGTTTCAAGGACGAGTCAAAACCAGCCGGCTGCACGTACTGGGAAGGGCCGCTTTCACCTCAGCGAAACAGAAGAAAGGCGGAAATCCGTGGGGTGAGAAGTGGACGGAAAGGGGTGCCAAAAACACAAACGGCTCGCAAGCCTCTCCTATGCCTCAAAGCTGATGGTTTTCACCAGCCAACTCGCCAACCGCATGTTGCGGGCTTCCCATGTGAACGAGGTCTAAACCCAAAGCGGTACAAAGTGCAAGGTCTAGCAAAGGAAGGTGGACCCTCTACGTCTTTTCACCCATCCTCCCCTTTGAAGTCACCAATATGTCCTAGTGTTTGAGAAGAAGAGCCCCTCTTTCGGGAGTGGGAGGCAGGTTATGTTCCGCCAGCTTGAGCCCTCCCATTGGAACAACTGGAATGACCCAACGGACCTAAGAGCAGCAACTGGCAGCTTCCGAGGATGTCTCACGCATGGAGACGCCAATGGAGAAGGATTGGGGAACTGCCCGTAAGTAAAACTAGATTGCGCAACCGCACTATTGCACGGACAACTCCTGATAAACAGCAACACACAGCTGGTTGAATAGAGCCCACCCAAAAGGCACCGCTCACATGTGTTGTGCGCCGATGTACAAAGCCCCGCCTGCTGGACGTTTTGCCCGAGTCGCAGCTGGAGCTCCAGCTCCTGTCCCATCCCGAAGCCGAAGCCCGTTCAGCACAGCGGAAGGTTCAGGCAAAAACTCCCAGCCCAACCGGGCTGGTTCGGTTGGCCACCGATCTGTGCTTCTGAAAGACCAACAATTGAAAGATTTCACCAGGCGCGACTTTGATAATTTTGTTCCGAAAAATCGCAATCCATCCGTCCCAATCTCTCCCTCTCCCGCTCGCCTTCGCTTCGGCCTGGAGCGCCTTCTTCTCCGTGCGAAGCCTCGGCTTTGGACAGGCAAAGAATTGGCAACAAAAGCAGTCTGCACTTTACGGTCACCCCATTTACGGTCACCCCATTCTGCGCCTTGTACTTCAACCCACCTGTCGGGGAAAGTTTGCAGCTGCAACTTCTACCTGAAGCTTAAAATTTTGTTTTGCAGCAATTCAGAAAATTGAATTACCAACCCATCCAACTCTGGCAAGGGTTTTGCTTTGAAGACTGGGAGACCAGCAAAGGAAAAGCACTGCAAAGGCCTCAAAGAGAGAATAGCGTGGGCCTCGAAATCCAGGACTCAAGCGAATCGGGCGAACTCGTTGCGCAATGTTGCCAACATCAGACCTCGTATTCTGATCTTGGGGTTTCCTATTCGGCCTATTCGGCTGTCCTGCTTGGCGTTCTTCATTTTGCTCCCACACGGCCGAAAATGGCTCATAACGATTTGCAACACACCACCCAAATCGGCTGACAAGCTCTCCAAAACAAAACCCAGCCCAAAAACACACCCAAACCAACCCTGAAACCCTAAATCGTCCCTGAAGCCTCCTTCTACGCAAAACCAATGCTGAACACCAATCCTAGCTAAACCCGAAACACCACCCACACCCGAACCCAAACCCAACACCTATCCCCGACTGCAAATCTGCTCCAAACCACGGCATAAACCAATCGAGCACAAACAAGAAGCCAAAACACAACTAAAATAATCGCACGCCATCAAAGCCAGCTGTTCTCAACATGCGGTATATTATTCATAGGATTGTAGCACTCGGCATCACGGCAATAGAGCAACCATTTAAGAACCCAAAACAAACTCAGTCAAACCTCGGCCCGATCGGAACATTGACATCAGGCCAACAGAGAGAAAAACAAATGATTTTATATCAGCAGTTTGAAAGTACACCCACAAATACTCAATGGAATTTGATGCTGATTACAGAAACAACATACGACTCCACTGGCACCAACGTTTACGGCATGTGCTTTTTTCGCGCTCGAGTCCCTGGGGTCCTTCGCTCGGTGAACAAATGCGAATTCTTGGATGACTTTCACTGCAAAAATCCCAGAGTGAGTTGTCCCCCATTAAGTGGGAGACATATAAATGGGCGCCCTCCATCTATCTGTCGCTCTTCCGCCTTTCTAGCCCTCGGCCGTTCTTGCCTTCTCATTTTTCCGTTGGATCACTTCGTCGAGCAAACACAACTGCTCCACTCTTTCTGAGATACTCTTCCCATATCGGACCTTGCGAAAACCGCGCAGGTTTAAAAAAAGAGAAGCCGCTGATCAATCTGAGTGCCACAAAGGAGCTCCTCCAGCTCATGGATCAGCAGGGAGTTTTCTTGGGTCTTCCTGATGATGTCCGCCTAAGACAGAGGCCATCGGGATCCGCAGATGCCGCGGGTGGGGGGGATTCAACCTGCCATGACTTGGGGTGGGATCAGATTGGGAACGCCCAAAGTCTCAACATACCGCCTTGTAGCATATCCTTATTCCCGGGAAATTGTGACTTTGGGAAACAAACGGCCAGTTCTCCAGGAAAAAAAAAAGAAGAAAAAAGAAACATGCCCCCGGTAGGTGGCCCAAAATCCGCATGGTCTTACGGTCCCCAACATCCCCAGCTGAAGAATTCGAAAGCCCGCTGACTCCCCTTCCGGCCTTGGCTGTGGCCTCCCCATTCTTCCCGCGCAGGGCCAGCATCGTCGCCTTCCTCTCCATGACCTCGACGAGAGAGACCAAAAATCGGGTGTTTGGGGAAACGCCGGCGGAAAATGGTGTGGTTTCCCCAAAGGGTTTAAGGGTTTAGGGTTTAGGGTTTAGGGTTTAGGGACATGGGATTTGGGTGGGTTGTCCCCGGGAACTTTGCGGGAGCAATCATACTGTCAGCTCAGGTGATTCCGCGGTGTTGAGTACAAAGAAACCGATGGAATCCATCGATGTTCAACCGAACTAACCCCAAACGGTTTCGGTGACCGGTCAACGCAGCTTGGTGTCAAATTCTGCTCCTTCAACGGCCCTGACCGAACGGCACCCGTGATTCCTTTTGTCTTTGCCAAAAAGGCGGAAGCCGACAAGAAATACGACGAGAGAATGATGTGAAAACGCCGAGCAGACTATGACGTTGCTGCACCCAATTCATTCCACTGTCTACACGAAGCCATATGAAGCCACCATCCGGCGATCCGCAAGCCCGGGCTGCCACCTCGCCATCCGCATCTTTTGCTCTTGCATATTCGTTGCAGTGGGAAAATGATGAATGCGGCTGTACTTAGGTCTACCGCAAAATTGGCTTGAAATGCTGGCTCAATAATGCCTCCGAGCACATCCAGTTCAGAGCACTCGGCAGGGAACTATGGCTTGTGCATCGCAAAAATGTGGCGGGAAAACTGGCAAGCGCCAGCAGGGGACCGCAGAGTTTGCCTCGCACAAATGGGGGCGGATTCGCATTGGTTCCATGTCAGTCAGGTGCCCTCGAATCTGTCGCTCACCTGCAAAGCCAGGCTGTCCATCATTCGGGTGAAGCGCAAAGACTGCGGGTTTGGCGCATCCTCCTTGCGCTGGCAGATGCAAACCTCAACACCACGCTTGAGTCAAGCCAAGGCAACCAACCGCAACTGGCCTGGGAACCCCCCCCCCACTCATTCTGCCTCTTGATCTTTGTCCTTCCTGTGAATCCTGTCGTGTTTACCATTTTTTCCAAGGAGCCACGCACCAAAGGCCTGTCTCCAAGCTGTTCAGCAGGTCGGGGCTCTGGGCGCAAATGCCGTTGGTGATCCACCACTTCCCCCCCACCTCCACGCTGGAGTCCCGGGATACAAATTGCGGGCCCTGGCCGAAGGTTGAGATACTGATCGAGAGCTGCCGGGGTTCAGCCTCCTGGCCGGCAGAAAGTCGGAATCATGTGCGAACTGTAGTTGCAGCATATGGATACACAAATGTGCATATATTATTATATTATATATATAACGAACCCCAACTGTATGATGGGCTGTGCCCTCCACTTGAGCCTATTTTGAGCATGGCAGCAAATCAAATGAAGCTTGTTCAGCCTCTGGACAAGCCCCCCCGCGCCTGGGGAGTCACCCGCAACACCACCTCATTGTCAGTGGTCCATCCAAGCTGCATGAAGTAGCTGCTGACGTCCCCATTCGGCTCTGCCAATTGGAAGGCCACCGGAGCGCTCACGCTGTCGCCTACGAAGCGAAGGCACCGAATCAGCACCCCGCTGGTGGGATCCCCGCGGTCGGCGGCCAGCTTCGCAGTCTGCCTGGCGAAGTCGAGCTTCTTGCCCAGCTTCGCAAGCTCCTGCGAGGCAAAGAATTCGAGTCCCAAAGCGCGGCTTCCTTGAAGGATTCCTAAAAACGCACGCGGAAATGGTTGATGTCCTGACACTACCAAAAGGAGGTCCACAACCTTGAGAAACCCCGGCCACTGCAGAATTGGCAAAAGGCTACCGTCTTTCCAATCAAAATGGAAAGGAGGGCGATGAAAGACTATCCGCTTGAAAAGGCCCCTTGCATGTAAAGAAAAGCAATGGGGGGGGGGGGGGGCAAAAAAACGGTTAATTAGACTTCTCTCTATCTAGGATTCAGAAAAGGGTTGAGACACGGGGGAAAAAAAAAAAATGGGTCTGGCATTTTTCCAAGGTCGAACAAGCACCCTGGATTAATTTTCGCGAGTGGAACCAGCCACAAGTAGACGAACAAACACCGGCAACACCAAGAAACAGGCTCGCCGAAAAGGAGCAGCGCAAACTGCAAAGCTCACCCAAATGGAAGTGTCTTCTGAGGGATCCACCCCCCCAATGGTTGGTTTCAAAGGAAGCCACTGGAAACCAACCACTTGAATGGGTAGCCTCATTTTGCCATACGCCCAAATATCAAGGCCCCTAATTGTCCGCATCGACAAATCAAAATAAAACACCGTATCTTGGAAGCGTTGGAATGCCGAAATTACCTCCCTGAGAGCGGCCCTTCGTCTCCTGCAAATCCAGCGCCACCGGCTGTCTGGGCAACAGCTCTGCCAGCTGCGCCAGCGTTGCCTTCACCGGGCAGCCCGGCGCCTGGGTGTCTCCACAATGCGTTGCATGGCGCACCCTTGAAACGGGAAACCAAAAGCAGTATGCTGAATTTCATGCTTGAACGGGGATTGGCCCAACCCTGGTCCAAACCCAGTGGTGATTCGGCTCTTAATCTTCTAGTCGAAGTGTTTGTCCGAAACACTGGCCCCAAGGCTCCCTAATATCGACGTGTTCCCACACGGTCGGACAGCAGAGGTTGGGTGGGGGGGTTTAGACTCTTCCCTGCCTGCAAAGATGCAGAACACTCACCAGCAAGCACGACGTGCGGAAGACGGTGCTGGAAGTACGTTGCCCAATGCTTCAAGACCTCTCAGGCGCAACAGCTCCCGAAAGCACTCACAAACCGGTTGCATCCATGGACAACAGTTGTTGCCAAGAAAAACAAAAAACGCCCTGGCAGCCTTAACCGAAGGCAACGGAGGGGAGGGCTGAGTCCACCTGAAAATTAATCTGGCAACCAAAACCCATCGTGACTTTCGAGGCCTCAACGCGTTGGTCTAGTTAGAAAGGCAGCTCTCGACAAAAGAATGGTCACACTTGTGTTGAACAAGTTTCCTTCAGAGACGATTCTGTGGGTAAACTGCTATGCGCTGTGAATATATGAATGAACATGCTCAGCCCCCCCCCCCACCCCCCCCCCCCCCAATGATGATACTCTTTGAAAAATCCATCCATAAAGTAGTATAGGCTGGTTTAAAGCAGGAACAGGAAATATGTTTCAATCAGAGGTTGCATGTGTGTGCAGATTAGTGCCACAATATGTTGCAGGCACATATATGAATAGCACGGTATTAGATATCATCTTCTCCATTCAAAAACCGAACTCACAATTTGCAATTTAAGCAATACTGACACCAAAAACCAAAAGCACACGAAGCTACCATTTTGTTTGTATGGTGTGTGCCATGTATACATTGGAATGATAATAGTTGTGGTTTCAATTAAGTGTGACATAGTATACTCAAACTAGTAACTAGTATGCTGTGAGGTGCGAAGGCCAAGCGCGTCCCTATACCTGCAATGACTGCACCAATGCTGCTGAACATGGGAGGCGTTGCAAAAGTTTGGTTTTACGGAGGTCACGGGTTTTGCACTGACGGTTTCCGCCCCGACTGCCCAAAGCATGATTCGTGAGTTGCATTCATGTTGAAAACCTATTCATGAGTTGAACAACAACTATTCATGGACGACGCGGAATTGTGTCCAATACGCTAACATCATGTTCAATAGTTGGGAATCGGTATGGTCTATATATATATATATGTATAAGTGAACGTCATGAATATGGTGGCTAGTAAAAAAAAGGAAAACAAAATGATTACAGTAGATGATACCGAAAATGTGCATGTATATATCTATATTATATATATAACGCGAGACTGGCAATCCAATCAATATTGAGACACCAATTCATTTAAACACTACGGTTGGATCAAAGGCATGCACATTCTTAGCTATCAAGCACAGCTGATGTATGGAAGAGTCACTACGTTCTATTGTTAAAAGTCATTATATGAGAATACGTGTCTCCAAAATATGTGAATAGAGATACTTGAGCTTGACTGTTTCGTGTTGTATGCTAATGATGTAACATGTATGTGTATAGGTATATCTATGTATGTATCGGATGAGCATGAATTCTAGCGTTGCTCAGTTTGTTGGATGAATGAATCCTGATAAGATGAGTCATAAACCATATAACCGCATTCTGAACCTGTTAAATCAATCAATGAGCACCACATGAGAAAGATTCCTCCCCGGAGCTTGTTTTTTCGCGATGTGCTTTGGGTGTGTTGATTTCAATGGTCGTCTGGTTTCTCAGTTGGTTCAGTCATCTGTTCTTGTTTGCTTTGTACTGTAGCTGTAGTTTGCGTCCGAAGTTACCTTTCTGTGGCGTCCCACCGGTGCGGTGCGGTGTGCCTTGAGGTCCCTGAGTCCACTGGCGCTGGCCATCTCCAGCGTTGCCAGGTCTTTGCAGCTCAGCGCTGACAGCCAGCTGGAGGGAAGGATCTCGGGGGACACATGGCTGCCCAAGAAGGCCATCTGCCATGACGAGATCCCGAAAAAAGTAACAGCAACTGTAGACTCAAGCCATGGTTGTTTGAAAAAAAACTGGACTCGCTTTGGGGGATCTGTGCTCTTGCTGAGATGCCCTGAGTTCTGTCAACCCTTGTCCTCTCGGGCCTATATAGGTCATCATGTCCCCGGTCACACCCCAGGCAGGGCATTCCAATACTAGATGCCCTTGCCCTGCCCTTGGGCAAAACTGCCTGCAGATGCATCGATACTTGGAAGCAACTCTTCCCCAAGCATCAGGAGCTCTTTCCTGACCCTTCCCATTTATCGTCCCATGTATCGTCCCATTTAGCGGCTGGTCACGTATTTCTTTGAACTCCAGAGACCAGAGGGATACGATACTCAACGCTTTGGGCTGCTGACATGGCTTAAAACTAGGTCCTCGAGCACCTCCCTCGCCCAAGTCGACCTACTACAATGCACAGCCCGGTGAAACGAGCCGGTCGTCTATTCTTGCTTTGCCTCAGGCGTAAGTTCGCACAGGATAAACAAGGATGCATGAGATCGACATACAACCGAAGCGCCTCGAAGTTGTCTCCACAAACGCGTCTGCGTATCTCTTTAAACTGATACCCAACCATCAATCCAACTTGATAAGCCGCAACCAACAACTTGTGAAGTGCTTTGAAAATGTAAATCAAGGACAGCGATGAATGGGTTGCTTCCTTCGGATGTCCTGTCAAATCCATCTGAAATCAGGTCCCAAACCTCTTGACACATTCCCACCTGTGCCTGTGCAAGCAAAATACTCGGCTCGTGCTGAGCAGTCATGAAACCCTTCTCTTGCTTTGCCGGCCACCAAAACATGAGGATGACATGAGCATGTCTTGGATTAGGGACCCTAATGGACATCATCGAGCCGTCATGCACTTGGCCACCCGAAGCCAAGGCCGGCCTGGATCTGGCGGGCCATCTCCTGGACCGGCCGCGTCTGCTCTTCGTCCTGAAGCTGTCGAGGGGGTGCTGTTCACCAACAAGTGGGGATCCGCGTGTCCGTTGAAATGCATTTCCATAGGGGCTCCCGAATTCGAGGCTCCCTCTCTCCAGCATAGGAGCAGACAGAAGGGCTTTGGCTTTCCATTTATGGAAGAACGGCTCTTGAGATTCTTGCACCCCTTGCATAGAAATAAGTCATCATGGGCTTGAACCATGCGCGAGTGTCATGTAGGCAGGATGCTTTCGGTTTTCCAAGAGCAGCTTCCTTTGGCTTCCCCAAAACAACCCAAACGGTACCCTCCACAACAGGCAAGTATGCAATCCACGCTCCCCGCAAACTCCTGGTGGAAGATCTCCGGGTTGACATGGTCGCGGTAGATCTTCTTCATTCCAATGTGCCAGTTCCGCGTGTCCTGCAAACGCGCTCCTTTTTTCCGCTCCTACCCTTCCACCGTGGCGGCTGCAGCAGCCGGGCGCAGCTGGTCCTCTCCGCCGGTGGCCAGCTCATGGAGGTCTGCGCAGAAGCGGAAGATGGCCCGCTCGCGCCTGGGCAAAGACGACCGCCTTTGTGTTTTTTGTTGTGCTTGTTAGCTGTCTTTTTGTTGCCTTGTGTATTGATTTCGTGTTGAGGTTCCCAAACCAACCAACACACAGCCAAAATCGACTTGGGAGTTGCGCTGGTCGCTTTCGGGCTGAAGGGCCCACATGCTCTGCAGTTGCGTCGGTTTCCGGAAAATCGGAAGGCACTTTTCAGAAGGTCGCAAAAGCGTTTTCAACTCCGCCAGCCAACACCCTAACAACACGAGCAACGAGCAGATTCATCCCGAGACTCTGCAGCAGCGCAAAAGTGAAGAAGTGAAGTTATGGTGTCTCACATTGCACATTTCTCGGTTCAGCCCATTGATGTCAAAGAAAACCTGGATTTGGAGCTATGAAGAGATAGCCTCCAAATGCGATCAAAGCCGAGAGCTCCACTGTCTGAGCACCTCCTTCTGCTTGTCCACCTCTCCATTGAAGCGCGCATTGGACTTCCATGCTACTCTTGGGGCAAGAGTCACAAGCTATGTGAGTGTCATGCTCCTTCACATTTGTCAATGAAACGAGTGCCAAGAAGGAACACATGCGCACTCCATGATCTGCAAAACGAGTTGCAAACATGGCCTCTAAACAAGCAAGTCGTGAATCAATTTGCTGGTCGAGCGAAGAGGGCAAGCAGTGCTGCCGCCAAAACCCAATACAGCCAAGCGGGTCGCTGAACTGATCCCATCTACCTAGGGCACGATCAACTCCATTGCCCTGGCCTCTGCTGCCAAGGAGGCAACTTGCTGGGCCTTGGTCTCCAGAACAGCCTCCTGTCAGGTGATCTGCAGACTCTGAATCAGATATCGCTTAAACCCAAGTCCACCTCCGCACATGTTGTTGCGTTGTTCAAAGGGAGGCTACATATCTGGGATCGCGCGCATGCTATCCAGAGGAAGATCCTCGAAACAATCCAGGCATAAGCGCATACAGGAAACACACGGGTAGAACGGCGTGCAGAGATCGTCAGCAAGTGACACAACCACCAACAGTCAAGTCAGGAAAGCAGGCGCGCAGCGCTGGCCAAGCGCCCGCATTTTACTCTGTGATTTGCTCTGTGACTCGCCCAGTCCCAATGGAAAGTCACACCGGGACCTGTGTTTCACACACCTTTTTCGAGGCTGAGACAGAACGGGGACATGTGCGTACCGTGTTGTACCCCCTCCATGCATCGGGTGGTACCCTCAATTTCAATGGGGAAATTATGATAGGGCCAGATTTTGAAGGGCGCACATGTTTGACCAAGTCCCCTGAGGCTTCCCTGAGGATTCTGAAATTTCCCCAGGGTTTCCTCAGCTTTTCCTTAGGTTTCCCCTAGGCTTCCCTTGCGTTTCCCCTAAGGTTTGGGGTGCAGTTCCCATGGCGTCCATCTGGGTCTGGATCTCCAGCTGCTTTTCGAACTCTTCCTCCAGCGCATGCAGCTGCCTCGTTCCGAATGGCGTGTCTCAGTTGGTTGACACCAAATGCCGGACATCGGGATTCGGCGAGGGAAATGTCCACCGACCACTTGTGGCTGGTGGTTCTTCATTGAAGTTGCCACTTTTTAGGTGGTTCCCACATTCCTTTTTTGGCTTGGCTTGAAGGGAACCAATTTCGGGGTTCCCTATTTTGACACATACCCAAATGGTCGGTGTCTTTTTCCTCTGCAGGTGTCCCTTGGTCAGGGATCGATATGCGATTCGCCTTCCAAAAACCTCGGGCCTTCAGTCCTTCATTTCAGGTGGATGGCCTCCTTCTGGTTTCCTGTTCAGCCGCCGACAAGTCCCCCCCCCCTCGCAGTGCCTCCCCCGCTCTGACTGGGCAACCCCACGTGTGCAATTGCGCAATGAGATCCTCCTTGGGCTTCAGCGAGTCGGTGACCTGGCCGAAACTGCGATGAAATGTCCCCGGGAAATCGGGCATCGCCTTGGTGTCATTGGACCCCTTTCACTGGAAGCCATGATACCACTGAGGTGTTGTGTATACCTACGGTATAGATGATGAGCTGCCTGGGATATAGGAACACGGGCCTGGACTTTCCCGGGAAAACAACGCAGCTTCTGCCTCCCGGAGCCGGTAGTCCAAGACATGCTTGAACTTCTTCAGCGTCTGCACCTGTTCGGCTGCGACTTGCTACAGACAGCCACCCGAAGCGATTTCAACTGAGGGCTTGTGCATATGTATTGTGTGCCACAACACCTGCTGGTAGCTTGGGCAATATCCTGGTCTGTGGAGGGCGGGGTTCAAAGAGATGCGGCGCTGATGATTTCCGGTGGTTGCGTAAGCCTCCACAAAACCCAAGCAACTCCAAGGAACCCTCGAGAACACTTTGGATCCTCATTTGAAACCTCATGCTCACCACAAAACTCCTCTAAACCTGGCAGAGACTTCATGCTTCCCAGTTCCCTTGAGCCCCCCCAACAGCCTTCTCAGGTGGATCCATGATCCACGTCAAGGATTCTGCGCCTTGACCTTGTGGGTGCCGATCTCCATCTCCTTGTCTCTCAGCGTGGCCTCCCGCTCCTTGCGCTCCACCTGAAAGCGGCCGGCGGCTTCGCCGGGACCAGCGCCGAGACACAGAACCAACCAACCAGGAAACAAGCAACCTAAGAAATTGGGAAAGAATGAAAAGAAATGGGCAGAAAACAGAAGGAAGGGAGGAAGGGACAAAAAGAGAGACAAATAGAAAGTGCTGGGCAATCAGGCTTCACCGCTTTCTTTCTCTGCACGGGAATTGTTCGGCTGGGAGGCGCCTATCGCGTAGGTCAACATGGCACACAAAACACAGCCTGCTTGGCTCCTCCACAAAGCCACCAAGAGCGCCCCTCAACGAAACACCCTAGGTGACTCGAACACGATCATCTGAGAAATCCTTTTGGGTGCAAGCTGGAAAAACCTCACTTGGGCCTCCACCCCGCCCCAAGAAACCCATCCCTCACCTCAGGCAAACCCATCGCCGCGCCTTCAAAGAGGTCACCTCCCGCTTCATGAGCTCGGCCTGCGGAATCAGCTTCAAACGGTGGGTGGGAAACTACGGAAGGGGTTGGCGGGGGGTGGGTGGGGCTGAGGTGGGGTGGGTGGAGTGGGGGTTGGGGGTGGGAGTAGGGTGGGCTTGGAGAGATTTGCCGTTTGTTTGCCCCTCTCCTTCAATGCCTCCGAAGCCGAATCGATGCGGGCATGGACCGAGATGCACCCAAACGAGCGGCTCCTAAACCTATTGTATCAAGAAGTCTAGAAGCATCTGGCCTGCCAACAGCTGATCCCCGAGGGGACGTTGAAGCCCGAAGCGGATAGAGCAAACCTGGGGACATACGTGCCTCCGACCGCAGGTTGCTGATGTTGACCTCAAATAGCAAAGAGATGCGAGTGTGGTTGGTGTCATCAATCTGCTCCTTTGAAAACACGGGTCCAACTTCTGGTTTCTTCCCAAACAATCTCCGCAGATCCGTTTGTTTCAAGTCGCCACAAAAAGCATGGTCCCACAAGTCACATGACTTCTGAACCAACGCTTAAGAGACCACGAAACTCACATCAAGTCTTAAGCGAAACATCTAGCTCTGAGCCAGCCGGCACTGGCTTCGCGCTGCTCCATGGCGATGCGGTCCTTGTCCTAACCACCCGGTGGAAGCTTCGCTTGGCTGCTTCTTCAGCAAGAGGCTAGCTCCAAGTCACATGCAAGGAAAGGCCCGGCGAGCCAACACAAAAGCACAGGCTTGTGCCACCAGCGAGCTGCTTCTCCATCGCGAACCAGGAATGGGCAAGAGTTGTGGGAGAGCCTCTCCCGTCCTTCTCCATCATGTCCAAGCCTCTCCTTGGCACGAGTCCAGATCAAAGCATCTGAAGGGAACCTCCTTCGCTCTGGCATGCCCGTTGCTAGATGCCAAGGAGCACTAACATGTCCTGATCTTTCTTCAGCTTGTACTCCACTAGGTGCTGCTGCTCTAGCTCCTGTCGAGTCAAAAGCAAGATCTTCAAGCCTATCTGGCTGAGCCGTGGTGAGATAAAAACGGGTGCCCAACTCCTGCCTCCTGGTTCTTCTTTTTGATCTCGGAGACTTCCAACGCCTGCTCCATACCTTCCTGGTCCAGCCTCAACTTGCCACTCTCTGTGAGTGCACGACTTTGTGGCATGATTTAGGCTCCTCGGCAAGTTTCACTTCGACCTATCTGAGAGCCAGTCATAGCATCAAAGCGCTTCTGAGTGAAGGCGATAAGCTCTTTCAGCTTCTGAATCTGGCGCAGCTGGGCACAAACGACAAACTCAAGCCCGGCGACTGAGACAAACCAAGCTGGAAAAGCACAGCATGCGCACGCGCAATGAGCAGTGTCCAAATCAACTTTATTAAAATCAAGCAGCAACCTCGAAGTGGAGCCAAATGACAAGCATGTTCCAGACCAAGCGCTAACCACGGTCCGTCCGATGGCCAACATAATTCTCTTTCCACATGGCAATTCTAAACATAACATAATTATCTTTCCACATTGTCTAACATAAGTTATTTTTGGCTCTTTCCACTTGCTCCAAAGCCCACTAGAGAAACCCAGGCACGGCGCGCACATATCCCGACGCCTCGGTGTCCTTCTCGTTGAGCCGCCGATGCACTTCCTGAACGGAAACCAAGAGGGGGCCTCCAGCGCTTTGCCCAACACCCAACAGGGCCGGTATTGTCCAAACTGGCAATAAGAAGTTGGCCACCACGGGTGGACTAACTGCTTGTTTTTCTTGCCTGGCTTGAAGCAAGCAACTTGACCGTCAATGTACACATCGCTGGGACCGGTCGACACCAGCAACTTTACGGCACCATGTCTTACTTGTTGGGCCTTGCGCGCTTGAATCTGGGAGCCAGCAACAACGCTGCATGGTCTACTTGCGGTTGGCTCAAGAATGCTAAGTCTTCAGATTGCAATCAGAAAACTTCACATGAAAATGCAGAGATGATGTACTGCAGCGTCTCGCAAGGACATGCATAATGTCTGCTTCTCCGCAATGTAGCGAGATAGGTGCCTCTTGCTACATATGGGAAAATAAACTGCTACATGAATTACTTCGCAAACACCAGCAGTGATCTGGGAGGCGATTTGAAACAAGCAAATCCTGGGCAGCCTTCATAAATTCACTTGACACTGACGCTGGGCAACAACCAAAGGAGGCCTGTCAGGTGGGTGTGGGCCCCTCCAAAACGTGGCTTCTACATATGTGTTCCTGCCTTTCGGGTGTTCGTTCAAAGCCCGCCAAGCATGTTCCATAAAATGTCCAGCATGCTTGAGACATAATTATCCATGGGATGGGCCTGGTGCTGCGGCCGAATCGCCGCGCCAGGCCTTCTCCTGCTTCAGCTCTTGCTGCTCCACTGTCCGCTGGGCCCGCTGTCGGTTCTGCGCGGATGTCGCTGGAAGGGGCAGGGCAAAACTGTGAGACCTGCAGTTTGCCTCATCTGTTGGCTGGGGCAACTGGGCGGGTCAGGAGGGCCTTGGAACTGGAAAAAATGAAGTCGGCGAGTTTGATCTCCCTTGCCCCCTTTCTCCTGCTTTCCTGACAAAAGTGGGTTCAAAGGCCCAAACCAGCTAGTGCTCAACATGACGTCCCCGCTCGCACCCGCCCGCCTGCTCGAAGCGGGCCTCAAGGTCCCTGAGCTCAGCCTGGCCGATCTGATGCAATGCTTCAGGTGGGGGAGATGCGGAATGAATGGGGAGCAAACAAACTTGAGAGCTACGTGAAATTGATGCCTGATTCATCTGTGTCTGTGTCAGGTTTGAAGCCAACTCCGGTTCAGCAAATACAAAGCTGTGCATCCTGTCAACTCCAAGAAGCGGAATTGACAATCGCTTTGAGTATGGGTCAACTGACAACGACGCAGCTCAGCTGATCAAAGAAGATATCGTCCGGTTGGCAGGTGTCCGAAATTGTGCTTCAGGTCAGCCCTATGTCAGGGAAGCAGTGCTGAGGAGGTAGCGCTGTATTGGTCACAGCTGGAATCATACTCAACTGGACATCGGCGAAGACCGCAAGAACTTGCAGAGACCTTGACATTGCGTCTCACATCCTTATCCTTCATTCAGAGGTCTCGTACCTCGAAATATACATCCCTCACCTTAAACCCAGGCCTCCTTGGCCATTCACAAATAGAGGTTCCGCAACAGCTCCTGTCCGCCCGATGCTTCTGGCCTGCAGAGCATCATAGCTATCAGAGTCCGCTCGCATGCGCTTGTCGTAGGCCTAAGCACGCATGCCACCAAGGAGCTAAATGAGCTGGCTTGGACGCACTCAGCATGAAATCACCCGTGCCGCACTCCGATTCAAGGCTTCGGCCACAAGAGAGAAACAGAGACTGCTGTCAAGAGCATTGTCGTTTGGTAATTGCTTGGGATAATCTTCAGCATCAGACCAGCGTTCGGTTTCAGGCTTCTCGCCCGCTTGACTTGCTGGAGCCCCCGCTTAGTCCGTTTACTAAGCCACATGTAAGAGGACCAAATGCTCACTTCCTTCTTGGGGCCATCTGAGCTGCCGGGCCTTTTCCTGATCGTCGGCCGCTTTGACATGGAGCTCCTGAACCGCCATGCTGGTCGGAGTGTGTGTGTGTGGGGGGTCACTACCCATTGAAGCATGCGCGTGTGCCTGAGCACCATGTGAGTTCCTGTGGAAAACACTCTTGCGACATCATGCCGGTGCCAGACAAGGACTAGTTTGTCGCGCAAGCAAAAAACCTCCCCTCCAAACCTGCGGCCCGTGGCTGACTTGCGTCCCGGTGTCCCCAACGCCCCACCCCATGCCCCAGACCTCCATCACCTTCATCTTCCGCAGGCTGTCTCGTTCCTTCACCGTGGAGGCCTGCGCGGGTAACTGGGGCCCACTGCCGTGTGGAGCGTCCGGTTCATCTTTGCCCCAGAACCTTTAGATCAGCCACCCACGAAAATGCTGGACTTTTCTGGGCCAGTGGAAGCGGCAGCCTGGCAAAAGCACAAGAGCCTAACAGACGTGCTCAAGCCACGATATAACCGACAGAGGGTGTCTGCAACTGCCGCCGACGACAGGCAGCTGACAGCCTGCTGAAGCTTCTCGTATTTGCCGCCTGAGAGCTGCCAACAATATTGCCACCTTCGAGTTGCCTAGGTTTGGGCATATGGGCTGTGGCTGAACCTCCAGAAGCCTGATATTGTTAGTTACCCCTGGCCCAGTCATCCAGCACCGCATTGCTCCAAACCTTCCGGAAGCCTCAAATTGCACTTTGGCCTCTTCTGCTCTGAAACTCTGCCGAGGCATCCGCGGAGAGACACGATCGTCGCCTGGTCCTGCTTCCTGGCCTGCCCGCAAGCCCAAAGCAACGCACACCATGAGATGGCCTGTAGTTTGCCTCGGCCGCCACAACTCAGACATGAAGCTTGAATACACTTGTAGCACAAGAACGATATCTTATTGGCTGTATGATGTATCACCTTCGTAGCTCGTTCTCTCCCAATTCATCCTCTCGGTATGGCTTGTGGCCATGTCTCTTGCATCGACGCGGCTGGCCTCCTCAACCCGAGCTCTCAGCTCGCCTGAGGATTGCGAGTCGAGCATTACAAGGCCATCATCGCAGCAGGTTGATTGGGAGCTTATCAGATATGCATCTGGGGCATCGACAACTCTACTGCAGGCTGCGCGTGGCAGAGTCACGCCACGTAGCAGATAGACTCTTGAGTGGAGGGAGCATAGCAGAGTGTGGAATATCGAATCCGGTCAACGCCAAACCAAATCTTGAAGTCGCCAGTTCACGCAGTTCGGTCCGAGGTCTGGGCTCTGCAAACGCGCTGCGTTCTCCTCCAGCTGGGTTTTCAACCTGGGCCAGAAGAGGCCAGAATTCACCGGGCCTGGGAAGTGTACCGCCGGCACATTGAAACCCGCGGGTCTTTGCGTCCCTCAGCTTCCCCTGGAGTTGCGGCGTGCCTGCAAAAAAGAAAGGCGCTTTTCGATGGCTGGCTACAAGTCAGGAGGTCACAACCACGCCCCATGAAGACACTCGTTCGATCAATGCAAAGTGTAGCCAGAGCAATCTGGGGAGCCCTTGCGCGGAGATCTGGGCACTGAGGTCCGAGATCTCGTCCTGGCTGGAATGGCGCGAGGGATGCTCTAACTGGCGTTATGATCTATGGCAATATGGATAAGGTTTATGCTACCGGTATGGAAATGGTGTATGAACGTATCAAGCAAGCAAGCGTCTCTGGCTGGCAACTCAGCAAATGCCATTGGGCATTGGCCTTTAGCTTCGCCATTGTCAAGCCACCTGGGACCGAACAATATTCTAACATCCTGTCAGTGCAAACATAGCGGCTACTATCCTGTTCTTGCCATTGCCATCTCGAGTGTCAGTCCCTGGTTCTCAATCAGAGAAGTGCTACCCTGCACAGGAATCGGAATATTTGCTGAAATGTGACTCAGGGGTTGACATTATTCACGTGTCACAAACCGCGCGGAGAAGTTCCAGTAATGTCTGCCATTTGACTCATTGTGTCGGCCGTCGTCATGGTTCCAATTGCTGGACAAACGTGGCGCGCATTGGAGGATATCATGTTACTTGTCTAAATTGACTACTGCAGGGTTCATGACCACCCCTGCTAACCCCCAAGCACAGAAGTTGAGCCATGGTACTCTCAACTCCTTCAAGGCTTATGTCCTCCCGTCTTTTTGTGTCTTAAGGGACCCGCATTTGATTCGCTCCCAACAGCCCGGCCTGGCGCAGCTGGATGTCTCCGCGATTGATCATGACCACCTGCAACAAAAAGGACTTTGACCGGCTTTGTGAAGCGATGAAATGAGGGATACGCTCGGAACGGCTATACACTCCACACTTTGGCAAATAATTATATTGTCTCCCTGGGCCCAGCCGGGCACAGAAAAAACAACACTGGCAACAAACGGCACTCCCTTTTTGTATGGATCAAGTCCTGATCCGCGAAGGCCCCCGAAGGGTTGGGAGTTGGCCCGAGCCTCCCCTGCGCCTCCATGGGACCTCGCCCGGCGCTGAGCGAAGTGTCCGAGAAGCCGTCGGCCTCGGCAACCCACAGGCCCCCAGCCATGGGGCCGAGTTGGACCCAGATGTCTTCGCAAAACCCAAATGAGAACCAGACAGTTTGCCTTCTGAAGTTCCCTTTTTGGAGATCTTGGAACAGCACACTGCTCTTTTAGTGGCCACAGCATTTGGATGGTGGCAAAGTTGATCTGTTATGATATCCAGCTGGGACACCTATCTGAGCAAAGACTTGGTGAATCAATGTCAATTCTGGATCACGTGTCTCAGCTCCAGGCCGACAGCACGAAGACAGCGCCGTCCTTGCCAGCAGTGGCCACCTTGCCGCCAGCTTGTTCGAGGCAGACCCGAACTGTTAGCTTCTTGGAACTCGAATCATGTGCCAGTGAGAGACTCTTGAAGCTACTGGAGTCCATTGGAAAGTGGAGAAACCAGAGGCGCCCACTGGCCCCAGTTTGGAGCCCAGCCAGCAGAGGCCGTGGCTGTGTGGCCGTCTGCAGAGATGCGCACCGCGGTGATCGCGTCTGCGTGCAAGCCCATTGCAGCTGTCCTGGCAATCTGCCAGGACTATCCAAATCAGTAAGAGCAGCCAGAACTCAAACAGATAAGAAAAGCAGATCCTTTCTGAGATCATATGGTTTTCTCTCAAACCTAAAAAATGGAAGGGGAGTGGCCTTGGCTTTCCTGTAGAAGTACAGGAGCCCCAAAACCGGTAAGCAGCTCACGTCGTCCTCAGCACCCCTGTCAGCCCGCAGAAGGCCAGGAGGTTGCCGCTGCGATCCCCCGCCAGCAGCGAGACCTGGCAGGCGCGGTCGGACGCGTGGGGGGGGGGGGGGCGCCAAGCTGCGCGTTGCCCATGGGACGCATCGGCCGTCTGTGCGGGGTTCCAAAAAATGCATCCGGAAAACGGCCTCTCCGGATCTTTTCTTGGGGAAATGGGGCACAATCTGACAGGCAAAGACAAACATTGGCCGATGGCGTCTTTGCAAGTGGCGCCAAGATTCGCCTCTGGTAGGGATTTGGGCAAATAGGAAGAAACCCAAGGCCTGACTGCCACCAATCCACTGGGCCTAAACCTGCCAAGGCCAATTGCTCCCACTGTGCCCATTGGGTCTGCCCAGATTCCCAGCAAGAGGATACACCAAGGAATGCCAGAGGGATATTGAGTTGCCAGCCTAAATGGGATAGCTGGCTAAAAGGATTGCAGGTTCAGGATATAAACCGCCAAGCAAAGACTGAAGATGTGCAAAAGAAAAGAATTGCGTGCCGATTGCCTCAAAAGACCAAACCCGGTTTCAATGCCTTCCCCATCTCCAGCCTCGCTGGGTCTGCTGTAGAGCTCCATGGAGGTAATGCGCTCAGTCGGATGCAGCACAAAGTCCTCGGGCCCCTCCCTCTTTCTTTCTTTCTTCCTTCGTTCCTTCCTGTCTTTATTTCTTGCTTCCTGCCTTTGTTTGTTTTTTCTTTCTTTCTTTATGTCTTCCTTCCTTCCTTTCTTTCTGTAGTTCTTCCTTCCTTCCTTCCTTCCTTCCTTCCTTCCTTCCTTCCTTCCTTCCTTCCTTCCTTCCTTCCTTCCTTCCTTCCTTCCTTCCTTCCTTCCTTCCTTCCTGTCTTTATTGCTTGCTACCTGCCTTTGTTTTTTCTTTCTTTCTTTATGTCTTCCTTCCGTCCTTCCTTCCTTTTTTTCTGTCTTTCTTTCTTTCTTTCTTTCTTTCTTTCTTTCTTTCTTTCGTCCTTCCTTCCTTCCTTCCTTCCTTCCTTCCTTCCTTCCTTCCTTCCTTCCTTCCTTCCTTCCTTCCTTCCTTCCTTTGTTTCTGCCTTTGTTTCTTTCTTTCATTCTCTCTTTCTTCCTTCCTTCCTTCCTGTCTTTATCTATTGCTTCCTTCCTGTCTTTCTTTATTTATTTATTAATTATTTATTTATTAATTACTTATTTATTTCTTTCATTCTTTCTTTCTTTCTTTCTATCGTGCTTTCTTTCTTTATTTATTTTGTTCTTTCTTTCTTTCTTTCTTTCTTTCTTTCTTTCTTTCTTTCTTTCTTTCTTTCTTTCTTTCTTTCTTTCTTTCTTTCTTTCTTTCTTTCTTTCTTTCTTTCTTTCTTTCTTTCTTTCTTTCTTTCTCTCTTTCTTCTTTTCTTTCTTTGTTTCTTTTCCTTCCTTCCTTCTTTCTTTCTTTGTTTCTTTATATCTCTCTCGCTCCCTCTCTCTCTCTTTTGCTCTCTTATGTTATCTCTCTCTCGTTCTTTCTCTCTTGGACTGGCCTTCATGTAGTCAACATTCACCAGGCATCCAAGTTGCGGATCTCACACACACCAGGCTAGGCAATGCTTCATCATGCTTAATTCACAAGGCGGGAGGCAGGAACCAGGTAAAACACACCGTGCCATGAATCACCACGGCTGAGACCTATGTGGCCTCTCCACCGCCAGCCCGCGTCCTCGCTCTCCTCGTAGGCGCCATGCCGGAAGCTCCGGAAGGCGCAGCGGTCCGGCTCCACCTCGGACGTCCCTGCTTTGGCTTGGTCATTCAGTATTGCACATATAAGGCCTGCAGTCAAAAATGGGGAGGAAGATTCCCCCCCCCAAAAAAATAAAAATTAAGAAAAGAACAAAACAGCATAGACCCTGGGTAGCATTGGAGATTTGACCCGTTCCCATTTCTGTGCAGCAAATCAACTCCGCCAGTCAGGAAGCACGATGACATTGCAACGACGAACCATTGTGCTCTGTGCATAAGCACAAGCATCGCCCTAATGAATTCAACGGCATCATGTTGACTTTTGGCAGCACCATGATGATTCAGATCATCACGACTTTGACAACATCATGATGATAGCAAAGCCACAAGCTGTGCTGCGCTACATATAAGCACAAGAACGTCCTACAGATGATTTTGGCAGCTCCAAAGCCACGAACCAGTACGTTGGACGGAACGTTGGTCAAGGCCCAGAGTGCTAGTAAGAGTTGTAGAAGAGCTCGGCTGTTTGAACGCTTCTCAAGGCCTATTCAGCTCAGGGCCCCAGCAAGAAGGACGTGTCCATGTGAGTTATAATTAAAATTTAGTACTAAGATGGTTTACTCAGAACCATGTAAGGAATTAAGAAGGGGGCCGCAGCTATTTATGGTTGGGATTGTCCTTACCAACCTTCATCTACCCGGGTTGTGATTGTGGCTCATGTGTTAAAATCCGGAAAGCCAATAGGCAAACAAAAACTTGCAATGATCCCACAGCCTCTTGACGCGTTTGGGTGTGCCTTGCCTTCAGGTACCCGTTTTTGGAGTTGCTCGAAAGGGAAACAAAGAGGAAATCAACTTCGAGACAACTGCGAAACCAAAATGAACACCGGAAGGGAAAGCAAAAAAAAAAGAAGAAAGCAAAAAACGCAAGCTGTTTCGAGGTTCCACGCATTTCATGAGACTCACACTCCCGCGTGTGGTGCATGCGCACAGCCCTCAGGTCTCCCGGCGGCGCCGGCCCACACGTAGCCCTCGCCAGCGGAGGCCACTGCCAGGGCCTCCCCGTGGGCGCCGTACTCGTTGACCTCACGGAAACCGAAGGGGGTCTACCCAAAACACGGCCTGACTTCCTGCAAACCCAATGGATTGTTTGGTTGATTCGAACAATCCAAGTCTTGTTTGAACAATGGGTGTTACATGTTCAGGCAAGGAGTTGTCTCAAGGGGACGAAGGCCTGCAAAGGGAAGAATGACGGTCTGGCAGGCCTACTTTTCAGGCAAGATATGGATTTCCCGCTCCAGCCAGCAATCCATGTGATGATACAATTTCCATCTCAAAGATGCATGGTTGAATTTGCACATTGGTTCCATGTTCCAACCGTTGGGAATGAGTCTGTCAAGCGTTGTTTGAACCTGAATGGCAACGGGATCTCATCAGGCGAAGCCCTGCGACTGGCTGACTAGGCGTCCGAGCTGCGCTCCAGTTTTCAGTGCTCCACTCGCAGATCTTCCCATCCTCTCCTGTGCCAGGACCCATGCGCCTACATCTCCTGAAACGTCCACACAGCGCAACCCGCGCGGCTCGCCGCACGCCTACAGAGACCAAGGTCTTGTCCAAGGGGTCGAAGGCCAGGGAGGCCACCTGATCGATCGCCGAAAGACACCGAAAGGCAGCTCGCAAGCCCGGTGCAGATCTGACATCCTCAGCTAGATGCCAAACACTTTCTGGGAGCACCAACTTTGTCAAGTACCGTTGTCTCTGGGCCAGCCTCAAGCACCGCCGGGGAAATCAGAAGAAGAAGAAATGGTAACAGACAGCGCAACAAGTCTAATTCTTTGGGCTTGGCGCACTCCAGGGCTTGTCCTTAGTGTGGCATGCATCCCCACCCAGACACGCCTCTCGAGGGTGGCCCCGGAGGGTTGCCAGCTTCTTCAGGGTGCGGGCGCTGAAGATGAGGATCTGCTTCGCCTCCCCAACTCTGTCGCAGGCATGCAGCACCGGCAGTTGCGGGGTGTTGCCCCAGCTTGTGTATATGTGTTGAGTACAAGGGATTCACAGCTTGAGGGTGCAGGGTCCTCGACCCTTGCCAGGGGAGGCCCAATGGTGGAGCAAGCGGGTGTTCACACAAATTCCCAGGGTTTGGCACAGAAACTAGTCGTCGGACTGACCCCACGCAAAGCCCAACCTCCAAAAAGCAAGGAGCTAGCAAAGAGGCAATTGTTGAAGCATGCCACTCAAGCCGCAAGCAGCCCTGCACATGCTTTTCTGCGCGTGCGATGTCCATGATTTGCATACTAGTTGCAGCCATTCGGCCTTCAGCGCTTGCCGCTCTTGCCCTTGGATTTCCCTCCCGACTTCCCACCCGACTTGCCCCCGGACTTCCCTCCAGACTTGCCCGACTTGCCGCCCGACTTGCCACCAGACTTGCCGCCAGACTTGCCGCCGCCCTTGCCGCCCTTACCGCCCTTGGACTTGCCGCCCTTGTCGCCGCCCTTCTTGGGCTTCTTGGCCTCCTCAGGGTTGAGGCCTGAAACATCGTTCGCGCCTCCGTCTCAGCCCTTCAACGGGCTTTGTGGCTTGCCAGCTTCAACCAGTTTCGCCCCGGCTCCTCGGCCTCCTCTAGGTCGAACAGCAGGTCCCTCTTCTCCTCGGAACCCTCCCAGTTGCTGTCTCGGGCCGCGAAGCGCTTGTACAGCTCCCCCTCCATGTGCTCCCGCATCTTCTCACAGGATGGGGTGCAAATCTTCGTCAGGGAGCAGTAAAACTTCATCTCCCCCCACTCCTGGCGTGCAAGTCACGTGCATTCGCACAAGAGGAATCCCGCCATCCAAATCCATAGCCATATGTTGTGTCCAAAATGGAGAACCCCATGCTTAACACTGTGTGGTTTGGTTTCTCTGTGGCCTTTAAACCAACCCAAGGGGACCACACAATCGGCGTCCCTTTCTCCTCCTCTTTGGGCCTAGAGCGCTTCTTCGGCAGCGCCGGGGGCGGGGGTTGCGCCGGCTGCGGGGGCGCGGGTCTGGCCACCCGTGTGGGCAGCCGGGGGTCCAACATCTCGATCTGACAGTGGGAGATGTTGGGCTGGTCCTCGCGCTTCTTGTCGTTTCGGGGATTTGGGTTTGTGGTCGATTGGTTTGTTGGGTCCTTCTTTTGGGGCTTGGGCACTTGGGCTTGTGGTTTTAGGCTTCTGGCCTCAAATGCCCCCAGTGGACATGTATTTTCGACCATGGAGCGATCAACACAGACACCGCTTGCGTCCTCCAGGACCTGGAACCTAAGGCACTGCGAGAAGTGCGGCAGCTCCTGCGGGCTTGCGGCCTTCAGGTGTCCCCCCAGTTTGTTCCGATGAATCTGGCCCTTGAGCCGCCCAATGGCAATCCTGGGCATACATTTCAAGTCTGCAAGAGGGGCTGTAGCAAAAAAAAGAAGAGCCCTTGGCTGGAAATCGGCTGGCAGTCTGGACCTGAAACCTTGACAGAAAGTCTTGGAATAGAAGCTTCATGATTCCAATGGTGTATCGCAACTACTCGAGCAACGAGGCTTTTGAGGTGCTGAGGAATCACCGCGGCAAATGCCTGCTATCAACAAAATACATGCTGTTTCCAAGCTGTTTCCTTACCCAATATACGAACGTTGAAGTACCGCGACGCTGGTTGGACAAGCTGTGGCGAATCGCACGCGAGCTCATAAAGCCTACGGCTGCATTAGGTAACTCGAAAGGGTCCAGACACAGTCGAATTCTCCTCGAAGCCGATCATAAAGACCTCCATGGGCGCCAGCAGCAGCGCTTCTGGGTCCGGCGCCAGAGGGGATTTGATCAAGTCGTAGGAGGGCAGCGACTCGGTGGCTTTGTACCTGAGAGATCCGAGCGCCCAGCGCCAAAGGTACGTCACTGGACGCAAACAAAGTAAGCAAAGGCCTGTTGCCTTTTTAGTGTCTGGCCTTGTTCTTTGCAAGCTCGTTGGTAAAGATCACCAATGTCCACACGGTCCAATTGGTTGGTGGCGGTGTGACTACCAGATTTACTAGCTGAACAAAGCAAGAAGCAAACTTGGATTTGCTGCCGGTTCTACGTGTCGCTGTGTTGGCATGTCCATGGGCGAGTCTGCTGGATTCGGAGGCAGAAGGAACCAAAGGAAGCACGGGTACCTGTTCGGTGTTTGTACAAGGCGCAATCAGGACCGGGGCTCTGAGTGCTATGCACAACGTAAGTATACAGTCAAAGTTTACCTGATCTTCACAGTCATGTCTGCAAAGATGCAATGGCACTAAAATCCATCAAAATGCTTGAGCGGCGCCAAAGGAGTCGACGAACAAAACACGTCACACATATGGCCATGGGTCAAAATCCCGTACCCCCAGTGAACCTCCCAATCCCCACTAAAATAGACTAAAATGGGTGGTGCACCTAGCCCAAAAGGGGATCCCATTGGTTTTGACCCACAGCCACATCTCAATCCGTTGAACCAGAAAAGTCGGACCTCCTTTCGACTCGTCCTGCGTTTGTAAAGAAAATTCCGCGCAGGGCGCATCTCCTTGAGCCGGGCCCTTCGCGCCATGGCCTCATGGATCAGCTTGGCCCGCAGCGTGGTCTCCGGGGCCTCGGGGCTGGCGTCCTGACCGAAAACCAAGGGGGTTGGAACCCCAACAAAGATAGGGGCGACTCCCCGGCTTTTCTTCCTTCTTTTTTTATGTTGTTTTATTTTTCGGGGGGAAAGAGACGGATTGCTCAAGAGAATGATGAGGTCACAAGGCTCTGATATCCTGAACACTCTCCTTCATCTTGAACACGTCAGTTTTGCCTTGAAGAAGACGACATTGATTTCCAATGCAAGCACAAAGCATAGGATAATTTTGGTTGCTTGTTTGGAACAATTCAAACCGAATTTCCAAACTGGAATATCTGTGCCTTGTTTTTTTCACAGCCCCTCACTTTTCAGCTTTCGTACCCCCGCCACCCCAAAATGGAGGAACGTGCTTCTCCTTTCATTTCCCCTCTTCAACCCTGTTCCCTTTCGGGGTCAAAACCCACCCACCCATCTCCCTTGTCCTTGATGGAGACCAGCTCCAGTTCCGGGCTCAGCTGCAGTGCCACAGACAAGGGCAGCAGCATGGCCGAGTTGTCCACCGCGAAGTTCAGCATCTCCAAGCCACGCAGCCACTCTGGCACCTCCGTGACCAACGAGCCGAACACGATGGGCTTCAGGCTCTCCGCTGGAACCTCAGCACTGGACCAGGTATACGGCGTGGCATGCGGGCTTGTGTGGGTGTGTGGTTGTGTGTGTGTGTGTGCGTGTGTCTCTGTGTGTGTGTGCGTGTGTCTGTGTGTGTGTGTGTGTGCGTGTGTCTCTGTGTGTGTGTGCGTGTGTCTCTGTGTGTGCGTGCGTGTGTCTGTCTTTGTGTGTGTGTGTCTGTGTGTCAGCGTGTGTGTCTGTGTTTCTGTCTCTGCGCCTGTGTGTGTGTCTGTGTGTCGGCGTGTGTGTGCGTGTGTGTGTGTGTGTGTCTTTGTGAGCTTGTGTGCTTGCGTGTGCGCGTGTGTGCGTGTGCGCGTGTGCTCGTGCGCGCGTGTGCGCCTGCGCGTGCGCGCGTGTGCGCGTGTGCGCGTGCGCGCGTGTGCGCGTGCGCACGCGCGTGGGCACGTGTGCGCGTGTGCGCGTGCGCGTGTGCGTGTGCGTGTGCGTGTGTTTGCGCGTGTGCGTGTGCGTGTGCGTGTGCGTGTGCGTGTGCGTGTGTGCGTGTGCGTGTGCGTGTGCGTGTGCGTGTGCGTGTGCGTGTGCGTGTGCGTGTGGGTGTGGGCGTATGTGTGTGTGTGTGTGTGTGTCTGTGTGTGTGTGCGCGCGTGCGCGTGCGCGCACGCGCACGCGCGCACGCGTGCGCGTGCGCGTGCGCGTGCACGCGCACGCGCGCTTTACGCCACATGCGTCGTACGCGGCGTCAACGCGTCGCGCGTCTGGCGTCGCAGCGTCTTAGCGTGCGCGTACGCGTGCATAGCATCTCTTGATGTGGGTAATGGTAGTGGATGATAGATGATAGATGATGGTGATGACGAAGTAAGATGATGGAGTAGTGGGTGATGAGTGATAGTGTTAGATATTAGGTGTTAGATGTTAAATTATTGAGTATTAAATGTTAAATGTCGATATTAAATTATTAGAGTATTCGATGAGTATGTGTGTATGTGTGTGTGTGTGTGTGTGTTTATGTTTATGTTTGTGTTGTGTTTATGTTTAGTTTGTGTTTGTGTGTTTTGTGTTTGTGTTTGTGTTTGTGTTGTGTTTGTGTTTGTGTTTGTCTGTGTTGTGTGTGTGTGTTGTGTGTGTGTGTTGTGTGTGTGTGTGTGTGTTGTGTTTTGTGTTTGTGTTTGTGTTTGTGTTTGTGTTTGTGTTTGTGTTGTTGTTTTGTGTTTGTGTTTGTGTTTGTGTTGTGTTTGTTGTTTGTGTTATTTGTGTTTGTGTTGTGTTTTGTGTTTTGTTGTGTTTGTGTTTGTGTTTGTGTTTGTGTTTGTGTTTGTGTGTGTTTGTGTTTTTTGTGTTTGGTTTTTTTGTGTTTGTGTTTGTTTTGTTTTTTGTTTTTGTTTTGTGTTTGTGTTTGTGTTTGTATTTAGTATTGTGTTGTGTTAATGTTTGTGTTTGTGTTTGTGCTTGTGTTTGTGTTGTGTTGGTGTTGGTGTTTGTGTTTGTGTTTGTATTTATGTTTGTATTTATATTTATGTTATATTTATGTATATGTTTATGTTTGTATTTATGTTTATGTTTATGTTTGTATTTGTATTTGTGTTTAATATTTGTGTTTGTATTTATGTTTGTGTTTATGTTTATGTTTATGTTTGTGTTTATGTTTATGTTTATGTTTATGTTATGTTTATGTTTATGTTTGTGTTATGTTTATATTTATGTTGTAATTTATTATTTGTGAAAACATGTTATGTTTATGTTTATGTTATGTTTATGTTTATGTTTATATTT